CCGCATTCAACTTGCTGGCGAGGGAACTGCCACTGGCCCCAAGCCTAGTCCCTTGGCTGTCACTCGACAGATCATCGCGAGTGGAAAGTTCCTTGACCTTTACACAGGTCTATCAGCAGGTCTTTTGCGCCAGGCCGTCTACACCACCGCCCGCTTAGGCATGTTCGACACACTGATGAAGAACCTCTCCGCCCGAGCAAAGACTGAAGGCCGATCAGTCGGTTTCTCAGAGAGAGCCACTGCTGGTCTTACTGCTGGTGGTATTGCTGCCATGATCGGTAACCCTGCTGATCTCGCCCTCATTCGAATGCAGAGTGATGGCCTCAAGCCCCTCGCCGAGAGAAAGAACTACAAGTCCGTTATTGACGCCCTCACCAGTATCGCAAAGAGTGAAGGTGTCGGTGCTCTTTGGGCCGGTGCTGCTCCCACAGTCGCCCGCGCCATGGCTCTCAACTTTGGTCAGCTTGCTTTCTTCAGTGAGGCCAAGGTCCAGCTCAAGAAGAACACCGATCTCTCCGCCCGAACCCAGACTCTCACTGCCAGTGCTGTTGCCGGTTTCTTCGCTTCCTTCTTCTCACTGCCTTTTGACTTTGTCAAGACACGTCTGCAAAAGCAATCCAAGGGTCCCGACGGCAAGCTCCCCTACCGAAGCATGATGGACTGCTTCTCCAAAGTTGCCAGGCAAGAAGGTCTCGGCCGCTTCTACCGTGGTTTCGGCACATACTACATCCGCATCGCCCCTCACGCGTAAGTGTCCTCGCCGTTTCTGAGTGTTGATGAATAATTCGCTGACTTGACTTTTTAGTATGGTTACACTGATCGTTGCTGATTACCTTGGCTTCATCACCAAATAAGCGAGTCAATTAATGAGAAAGAATAATCGATCGGACGGATAGATTCGACATCAAGGCGTTTATCTGGCGGGACATTGTAACTGGATATAACTTTTTTTTTTGGATAGTAGCTGCAGGATACCATTGCTGCTATCATTTGGGATTTTCTTATGTTTTTATGAAGCAATTGATGAGATATCGATCATATAAAGAACAACATGTTAAAGAAAGTTTGTGTGCGTGATGTTGTGAAGATGTAAACCGTAAATTTGCTCATGCAGGGTGTAGCTTCCTTTTCTCCGTGAGCTGACTAAATGAGGAACCGGAGAACTGGAAGTAAAAAGACGGCTGTGACAACCATTACAACGGTCAATGGAGCTCTGGGGATCGAAGTCAATTGTTTCCCATAATTATAAACGTGATAGTGTTGACAGTTTTCTTGCCCGAGTCTTGAAAGTTTACATGAAGCTCCTCCCGATAACGGAGTGGGGTTTTGTCTAGACCCTCATATACCGAATTTTGCATGACCCATGTCAGTAATAAAAGCCGTCATCGTATAGGGGTCAGTACATCAGTTTGTGGCTTTTCCGAAGCACTGAAAACGCAAGTTCGAGTCTTGCTGACGGCAAACAACCTATTATTTTGTCATTTTTGCTGTGAGTTGTAGATAGTTTGGAAGTGTTGATTTTTGGTAGTGATTTTGAGTGCTGACAGGCTGGACCCCTCTATGAGAAAGTTGACGTATGGCGGGGTGGGTAGTTGCATCAGCACATGATGACAGCAGCTGGCTATAATTTACATTGTTAGCTCTTTTGTATTTTGTTTTTTCAGAGTGTTTAGTTATTAAGTTGGTCATTTAACGGTCAACAGTGATCGACTTGCAGCTACGGATACAAACTCAATTGCACCTCAACTTTCCTCACGACGGCCCATGAAGGCCGGTGGAAAACGATGAAACGTCTGCATTGATAACACTATCTTCCTAAGATGTCCGTTCTTGGAGCATATGTGTTCTCGTCACACGTATCTGTTCAAATCAGGCCCACGTGGTGATATCTCTTTTTAACTCCATCACGATAGACATACTGGTAGACTCCTTTGTCAGCAAGCTCGCATGAAAGAAAGCAAGCTCATACCGTTTATATATAATCAACCTGTGTCCGGCGTCTTTGAATCAGAGACCATGAGTTTTGGCAATTTACAAGCTTAATATCAGCTGTGATTCAGTGTCCGCAAACAATGCCTCCTATACTCGGCACCAGACAGTCAGCAACAAATGCACAACAGAAGGTGAATCACGAAGCGAGGTACCCTCGCTTCTAATGATCCCCTGGTATGCGAGCCTAGATAGTAATTATATCCCAGGCACCACGACCGGGCCGTTCGATGAGTATGGGGGTATTGTATCGACGTCGTGGACCTGTACCCGCATGGGTCTTCTGAAGAAGGCCGTTCAAGTATGATATGACTTCCGAGTTATCAAGATCCCATCGTGGATGCAGCATGATTCATTGGGCATTTCGGTCAAGTAGAGTCGTTGTCGCATACAGAGGCATTTTAAGCCCACGTATCCACAGACCGTGACAAGAAATCCTCAAGGCAGAAGCCGTTGAATTGATGATCCGCAACATTGCTACCGACAAGGCCATTCGGTAAAGATCCGTTATCTCTCAACGCCAAATGGATTCAGGGCAGGTATTCTCGTAAAGGAGGGCGGCGAGCATTGCCTGACCTGCTCTTAGGGCTGTGATCAACTTTGACATGTTGGTCTGGAATCTTGCCTTGTCCGGGTTATCTTCATCGCTGGGATTCTCTTGGTTATAACGCTGAATCCCTTCTTCGGCCGTTTCTGATGAGTGTCGGGCTCGTTTACTTGGTCAATCTGAGCTCTCGGACTCTTCAACGTCATCGCCTTTTTCGTTTTTGAGACTGAGCATTATGAATTTCCGATGCCGTTCAGTAGCGATTAAGTATTCGCAACTAATAACGCTCAGCTTCTGTGTGAGGATCAGTCACAAAACAAAGTACACCCGGCTTTTTGAGTGTGAAAAGACACAAGAATTTCAAGAAAAGCGAGATGGCAATTGAGTGTTGTACATTTGCTGTGAAAGCCCTCCATCCAGTATCCTTGTTCAGCTCAAACATCTTGGTAACCGCCACGTTAAGATACTTGTTTGGAGTTATTCTGGTTCTCAACTGGGCCATGTGGTCGTCATTGTCGTTTTCATTAGTCACATACCGTGGTTCACATCTTCAAAGAAGCAGATGGACTATCACCGAGGTGTCCGACCCGGCGTTCTTCTCTGGATGCTCATGAACTGTGGTCTTGTAACGCCGTTCCATCTCAGTTCGGCTGGCCAGGACCGATGCGACAACTCCCCTGGCTCCTCCCGGCCTCCAGCCGCCACCTTCAAGATACCTGTGATAAGCTTTTGCGTGTCCATGCCCTGGAAGCTCAGCACGCGGAGTTTCTTGTTCGATATAACGCCCTTGCGGACTGAATTGTTGTCTTGACTCTTGCGCTCACTGCCCCTGCCAACCTATCTATCGGGGGAAGGGGTGGATGGAACGCGCTGCATGTCCATAGCATGCTGATCCTCCACCACCGGCGGTCTAAACCGGTTTCTTCGGTGATAGGCACGCCTTTTCCGCTTAGAAAGCTTAGGGCAGGGACCGGCGCGGCGTTACGTGCGTTTACGTATGCACCGCGCCTTTTCGATGATACACTTGGTCGTGAGTTTTTGGGTTGTTCAGCGAAGTGCAAGAAGGCCGAGATGCGCTCTGGGAACGCCGCCGCGCCGCTCCAATATCAGCTAGGCAGAGCGAGGATCATTGCAAGATGGTTGGAGGTACAATGGTGGCAACAATATCTGATACTATATAGGAAACGATAAATCTATAGCCAAATGCAGCATCGCCGCTGACATACTATATATGCTGTAATTACATCAAAATGAATATAGCCAGTTTGCAACCGTGATTGTAACGACAAAACTGAAGGAAGATAGTATTAACTATCAATAGCAGGAGATGCTGAATACTACCGCCGTTTATTTGCCAGTAGACAGCGCCCTGTATACGATAAGCGTTGGCGAAGAAGCTCGTCAAGCTTGAACTGCGGGAGATTGTGAGAATAAAGCAAGACCGAGTCTCTTCTTTTCTCGTTGGCAACAAGTCAATCCAGTGAAGGGTCTGCATGGTCTTTTTAAAGCAAGCTCTGGATAGCTGATGATAAGACTCTAACGAACTAAGTAGCTTAGCATGTCCTGTCTTTTGACTCACTAACGCCATGAAGTCTTCCAATGCGTTATGCCATGCGCAATCAATATTCCTCTACACATCCTGAATCTATCGCTTCTTCACTTAGATGTAAAACGGGATGGAGTTTGCAATGAGAGAGACAATTGCGCTCGAGGCAACAAGGATCGCTTGGCAAACTGGGGTTTCCAGCCATAAACCTATGTGTTATAGGTAGAGGTACAGCTATGATGTGATTGTTGTGTTAAATCTCATGGCTCAGATATCGGCGGGTTACATGGGGAGGGTATCGTGACAATCGTCAATGGCTCGGGGCATCAACAACGATCCTTCTCGCCGTAATATCTAGTATCATAACAGTCCAGGTTCGTAAAAGCAGAGCTGCGTGATAAGCTCTTTCTATCATTCAGTTATTCAGAGCTCTTCTATCAGTCCATTGTTCAGGTGACACGCCACTTTTCTCACACCACCATAAAAAATACCAAAATCATAAGTTCACATTATAATCTCTACAAAAAGACTGATTCCAATTAAACATCAAAAGTTAATGTTTTGCCGTCAGCAAGACTCGAACTTGCGTTTTCAGTGCTTCGAAGAGCCACAAACTGATGTACTGACCCCTATACGATGACGGCTTGTTATTGGTGATTGACAGCCGAATTATTACAAAACATATACCCTAGTCGTGCTAAATCCACTACCCTGTAGTCACCTAACAAGTTTGAACATCTTCTTTACTTCACAATTGCACAAGAAATAATCGGTTTGGCATATTAATTGTTTTTAATCTATGACAAGCGTTTTGCTTCTTACCTATCAAAGCTCCCCGTCTATGGTACCCATTATATAGCTCAATTTTCTATCATGAAATGCTGACCTGCAGCAGTGTCCCCAGTCAAATACACCTATTCATTGCATGGCTTTGATCCAAAATGCAGGCCAATGGCCTCGGTTTCCAGCGTCATCCCAGGTTACTTCCAGTTCCTTTACTGCAAGATCTTCCACTAGGGACGTCTTTTCTTCATGATCTCTCATGATTTCGTTGACGAGCGTCCAACTTGCGTCAAACAACATTCGTTGCGTTGCAAGTGTTTTGCGCACCTGGATAGCCAACGCTTCACCAGTTTCGATGGGGCTTCTAGCCTTGCATTCCCACTCGTTCAGCACAAGCTCACACTGTGAGCCATGAAAAGCACCGTGAGCCCCCCTACGCATGTGAATATCGTCAAGTAGGTTGGCCAGTTGAGCCTCTAAGGTGACAATGAGACGACCTACATATACGAGATTGTCGACAGCCTCGGCGAGGTATGGTGAAATTGTCTCCATGTGCGGTATACCCTTTGGGAAGAGATCGTCAATAACGTCTACAACCTTAATCCAGCTCTCAGGTACGTCCTGAGGAGGAGGAGGAAGGCTCCAAATGGAACTGGTAGTGGTCTTCCAGATGTTTCGCGATGGAGGACGGGCCTGGACATAGCGTTGAAGTTCGGTGACGTAGTTGCATGTGTGGACGTCAGGACACCACTCCATTTTGGCAGTCTTGATACAGCAACCATGATAATCGCACTGAAGCCAAGCACGAGCAAGGTGCTCGTTGGCACAGGTGCATGAGGTTGTCTCTGCAAAGGGATCTGTATAGATAGTGTTTCCGCTGGAGATGACGGGGCGCATGTCGCAGCGCATTGTGTGAGTTACTACTCGGTAGCACATGATGCCGATTTTGTGTGTAATTCTGTTGCTTGGTTGATAACTTAGCTGTCGCTGGTGTTTTCGTTGTTGGTAATGTCGAAAAGTTGGATCAAGCTTCGGCTGCATTTTTGGAGGCATGACTGCGAGTAAGATATATACTTGATACAAAGGTCTTAGTAGGAATCACATCTGAATGGTGTTCTGCGGGTTCTTTGTCTATGTATCTAGGACAAGATATCTGTAAGTGAATTTTGAGTGAACAAGAGAGGTGCAGACAAAGGGCGAGACGTTGTTCACTGGCCTCATGGGCTCAACATTCAACAAAGATGTCCCTTATGCTGAGTACTGTGGTTGGTTTCAAGTTCTTTGAATATACCATATTGAATTATCATGTTCTCGATTTGTTTGCCATAACCTTTATAATGTCTACTCTATTCGCTACTCTCTTCGGCTCATGGTCAAGCAGTCGTTAGGAGCGACGACAAAGAAAGCTACAGAACAATCACGAGAGATAACGGCGTGGTAGACTCAAGTAACGGCTCTGTAACCAACGACTAGAGGAATTGCTTTATATGTTTCGTCTGGTTGCTCTGTTGATATGCCTGCCTCGTAGTAGAGCATGTTGGACTAATACAGAGAACGGTTCCCCACTTAAGACACGGGAACCGGTGGCGGTAGTAAGTTTAAGCACCGATACCGTAAATACGGAAATGCCAGTCGCATCTCAACACGATGTGGGTACATAAATCGTATATGAGCCGGGCGGTATTGTAATTTGTTGCAACACGTAATGTGTATTGAGGCTGTGCAAATCTTGAGGTTATCTTACCGACAGCTTGGCAATACCACGGTTAGATACATAGCATTCACCAATTCCAAAGCCGTCAAAACGCCAAGGGTGTGGACGCGACGCTACAGGGATTGGCACGCTGGGCTGACGCTGTCATCGGCATGATTTTTAGCCCGATTCCCGACATCAAATTCGTTTGATAATATTCGCAGTTAGTCTGTCATGCGATTAGATGCTCATTGGATGGTAAAACTGTTGGTTGAGTGCTTTCTACGGGAGTGACATTCTTGGTCATTACTCCGTATGCATATTAAAAAGGAAGTATCATAGATATTTGAACAGGAGGCGGCTCTAAACTTATATGCGGGTCTTGTACCCATAACACAGCCGAGGGAGACCCAAGGATGGGGAAATAAAGTCCGATACTCCGCTTCAGCTTCCCAAGACATTTATTGATGTGAGATATGGGAACGTGTTTTTATCGCATTCGGTCTTGTTACAATTATCGTACTCCGTATTCCCCATAAACTCTATTAAACGGTTACATGATAGGTTAATTAGACGTGTCGTTGCAATTAAGATCCCGCCACAAGCATTAGATCTAAGCCCAGCAGGGGTTATTTGGATGTCTCAACGCCTCCCTTCCCCTAACGCATCGCCTAATGCACCAGATTCGATCAAGGAGAAGGCAGAATTCCTTAGTTACCAACGCAGCTGAATGGTGATCAAGTTGACCAGGCATAATCAAATAAGCACGCGTAGACCCTTACGACTTCTGCACTTGAACAGAGTCAAGATGCATCAATAAATGAGACCAACTTTCCCTTCTAAAACTCCCGGCCGTACTTGTCAAAACAAAGCCTAAAACCTCAACTCCACTGTTCTTTCCACTAACCAGGCACTCCCTGTGGGCCCCGACACCAAAACCGAGCCACTCCAAGCATTACTTCGCCTACTCCATCATCCTTAAACTTCCTTCTTACAACCAAACCAGCATCTCATATGTTACTTTAATATCTCTATTAATCGATACCCCTCCTTCGTGCATTCGTGGCCTCTGCCACTCTGCATTGAATCATCATGGCCTTCATCAAGCAGGTCGGGACCCTTATGGGGAAGAACTTCCGCATTCTTCTCTGGCGTCACCTGGCATTATGTATTTGGATGGCCTTCATCTTACCAGTCTTTCTGGCTGCCTTGTTTAGTTTTACAAAAAATCTTCTTGTCCCTCCCGCTAAGTTCGGAATTGGCAATGTCGCTCCCTTGATGCCTCTTGACGAGGCAATTACAAAAGCAACCAACAATGGCCGTGAGAAACTGGTCCTTGTCAACAACGGCAACAACGATACAGACGTCAACCGCGTATTCGACACCGTGAAATCCAAGTTCGAGGATGCCGCCAAATCTGCTGACACCGAATTTGAGGTTGTACTCGTTGATAATGAGGACGAATTGACCAACAACTGCCCTAGCAATCTGAGAGGTGTTTCGAGATGTTTTGGTGCTATCGTCATGGAGTCACCCTCGGCAGGCATCTGGAACTACACCATTCGTGCAGACGGAGCTTTCGAGTATGCCCCTCCAAAGTTCCGTGTTGACAAGCCCAATGATCAACAAGTCTACATCATACCGCTTCAACATGCCGTTGACCAAGCAATTTCCCGTCTCAACAACTCGGACAGCACAACCTTGAACGACATATCCGAGTATCCCTACACCAGTCTGACACCAGAAGAGCGTGACAGGGAGATTCGAAAACGGTTCCAAAAGGCGATCAAGGGCTGGATGGGTGTGGCCTTTTTGGGCACTGTTGTTTGGGTCACCTACCATCTCACTGGTTTCATCGCCACAGAGCGCGAAAGTGGAATGTCTACTTTGATCGATGCCATGATGCCAGTTCGGAAGCCCTGGCTTGCTATGGTCGCAAGGATCATTGCCCATCACCTTTCATTCTCTCTTATTTACCTTCCGGCTTGGGTTATTGGCTCTATAATTGTTCGCGGGGGTGTTTTCGCCAAAACCAGTGTCGCTATCGTTCTCGTCTTTCACGTCATCACAGGTCTCGCCTTTTCTTCTGTATCCATACTATTTGCATCGATCTTCAAAAAGGCACAGCTCAGCGGTAATACTGCCATCTTGGTAGTTGCAATCCTTGGCATTGTCTCACAGGTCCTGACTCAACCTGGAACGGTTCCTGTTACTGTGTTGTCGTTGTTGTTCACCCCCTCTGCGTTCGTTTTCTTCATCGCCGACATGGCTCGTTTTGAAGAGCAAGAGAGGCCGACCAATCTTTTCGAAAGGGCCCCAAATAGCCCTTCGGCTATTCCAGGAATTGTCCTCTGGGTGTTTATTATCATCCAGATCTTTGCTTATCCGTTGATTGGGGCCTTTATTGAGCATGCGCTGTTCAGTAATGACACCCCAGGCCGCAAGATTCTCTTGAACCAGTCCGACATTGATCGAATGGGTAGTAACGCTGTTCAACTGCGACAGTTCTCCAAGACGTACAACCCTAATTTCTTTTCGAGACTTTTCCGTCGGGGCGCCAACAAGAAACAGCCTGTTCATGCTGTCAACGGACTGGATCTTAACATTGGCCAAGGCCAGATTGTTGCTCTCCTCGGAGCCAACGGTAGTGGAAAGAGTACAACGCTTGATGCCATCTCAGGCATGAACAAGTTGACTAGTGGATCGATCGAAATAGACGGCCGCGGCGGTCTTGGAATTGCCCCCCAGAAGAATGTGATTTGGGACGATTTGACGGTAGAAGAGCACATTCGCATTTTTAACCACCTCAAGGCACCCAACGCCAGAGCCGACGCCCAACAAATGGAAGAACTCATCAGATCCATTGACCTCTACCCGAAGCGAAAAGCATTTGCCAAAACACTATCGGGTGGACAAAAACGGAAGCTTCAACTTGGACTTATGTTGACCGGAGGCAGTGCTGTATGCTGTGTCGACGAAGTCAGCAGTGGCATTGATCCCCTATCCAGACGAAAACTTTGGGATATCATCTTGGCCGAACGTGGAAGGCGTACCATGATCTTGACAACTCACTTCCTCGACGAAGCCGATCTTCTTGCCGACCATATCGCCATCTTGTCCAAGGGTACCCTACGCGCCGAAGGCTCTTCCGTGGAGCTAAAGGATAAAATGGGCGGTGGATATCGAGTTCATGTTCCGAAAGACATTGGTGTCCGTGAAACTCCTGATGTCGACGGAGTTGTGAAGAAAGATGCCTTTGATCTCATTACATACACCGCTCCATCATCACAACTTGCTGCTGTTGTCATCAAGAAGCTTGAGGCTGCTGGTGTCCGCGAATATCGGTTCTCGGGGCCAACCATTGAAGATGTCTTCTTAGAGGTTGCTGAAGAGATCAGAGATGAAGAAGCTTTCCGTAACAACAACCAGGCTTTATCTACACCCTCAACCGAGAAAATGTCATCAAAGGAGAACAGCATCGAGAAGCCGGGATTGGAGCTTACGAACGGACAACGCATCGGATATGTGAAGCAGGCCAAGATCCTTTTCTTCAAACGTTTAACGATTCTCAAGCGAAACCGAATCTTGTACTTGTTCGCTCTTCTTCTTCCCATATTTGCCGCCGGGTTAACATCAATCTTTGTCATGAACGAGACCACACCCAGCTGTCAACCGGCAGATCAAGCCTCTAGAACCACTTCCCGGCAAGACATTTTTAGTCAAAAAGACGTTGGGGAGCAAATATACTTCCTGGCGGGACCAACTGAGAAGTTTACGGCGTCTCTAACCACGATCGGTCAGATTGGGTCTATGTTCGGATCTAGATCTTCGAGCTTCGATAGTCCTGAAATCATTACGGTTGATTCTTTCCAGGCTTTCAAGGACAGAATTGAAAGCGATCGGAAGAGAATCACCACTGGCTTTTGGCTTGGTGACGATGTGCAAGGCCCTACTTTTGCCTGGGTCGCGAATCTCTTCATCTCGAGTCCTATCCAAGCACAGCAGATTTTGGATGTATTGCTGACCAATACGACAATCTCCACAGCATGGAGTAACCTGGAGATTCCTATCAGCCCCTCTACGGGTGACTCGCTCCAGATGATTGTGTATATGTCAATTGCGCTTTCAGTTTACCCAGCCTTTTTCGCCCTGTATCCAAGCAATGAGCGACGAAGGATGGTTCGTGGTCTTCAATATTCAAACGGTGTCCGGCCATTCCCGCTCTGGATAGCATACCTTTTGTTCGATCTTATCATAGTTTTGCTTGCCACAAGTATTGGAACAGCAATTTGGGCTGGCGTGTCCGACATTTGGTTCCACCTAGGATACGTTTTTCTCATCCTCTTTCTCTACGGAATAGCCTCGACACTTTTCGCATACATTATTTCACTGTTTACTTCAACCCAATTGGGGACTTTTGCCTGGTCTGCGGCGAGTCAGACCCTTGTTTTTGTCGTGTACATCATCGCATACATGTCTGTGTTGACATACACGCCTGTGACTAAAGTCGACAGCAGCTTGCGGCTTGTTACGTTTCTCATTTCTGCGTTTGCGCCTATCGGCTCGGCATTGAAGGCCCTCTTTATTTCGACGAACCTCTTCTCTACAGCCTGTGATGACACCGAGCTGACAACCAACCCGAGTGGTATTCTGTACTATGGTGGACCTATTCTTTACCTTATTCTTCAATCGATTATCTTCTTTGGCCTCTTGATTTGGCTTGATACAGGATCAGCCGGAGCCTCGATCAGAGGTCTGCTTCACGGAAAAAAGAAAGGTACCGAATCAGACGAGGAACAAATCGACGAAGATATCATCAGCGAGCGCAACAAGGTCACCCAGAACTCAGAGAATGAGCACGGCCTTCGAGTTGTGCATCTCACGAAGACCTTCCGGGATAATACAGCCGTGGACAACGTCACTTTCGGTATTAGACGTGGCGAAGTGTTTGCACTTCTTGGACCCAACGGTGCTGGAAAGTCGACGACAATTTCCCTTATCCGCGGTGACATAAAGCCTGACCGAAACGGTGGTGATGTATTGGTGGAGGATGTCTCAATCAACAAGAACCTTGCTGCTGCTCGTGCTAACCTGGGTGTGTGCCCTCAATTTGATGCTATGGATCAGATGACAGTGCGTGAGCACCTCGAATTTTATGCCAAGGTCAGAGGCATTGAGGAAGTAGAACACAACGTAAGGGCAGTTATGCAAGCAGTGGGACTCGAGTCTTTCGCCACCCGAATGGCGCATGCTTTATCGGGAGGAAACAAACGAAAACTGAGTCTTGGTATTGCCTTGATGGGCAACCCTACTGTTGTGCTGCTTGACGAACCTTCTTCTGGCCTAGACGCAGCTTCCAAGCGTGTCATGTGGAAGACTCTGGGGGCTACCGTCCCTGGAAGATCAATTCTTCTTACAACCCACAGCATGGAGGAGGCTGATGCACTTGCCGGCAGGGCTGGTATCCTCGCAAGAAGAATGCTTGCCCTCGGAACTCCAGATAATCTACGACATCGGTTCGGAGATGCCCTACACATTCACTTGGTCTCGAGTACTGCTCCACGAACAAGTGATGAAGAGATGGCACGAATCATGAACTGGATTCGCACGACTTTGCCATCTGCTGATGTTGACCAGAAGACATACCACGGCCAAATACGCTTTTCGATCCGAGCCGGTCAAGTCCTTGCAGCAACTTCGGGTCGCAGGGAAGAAGAGATTACAGGCAAAGATGAGAATCTTAGCCAGAGCGCGATTGGGCATTTGGTTGTGTTGCTCGAAGAAAACAAGGAGCAACTAGGTGTTGGCCATTATAGTGTTAGCCCAACCACATTGGATCAAGTCTTCCTCAGTATTGTCGGGCAACACAATGTCAAGGAAGAAAATTCCGAAGAAAAGAAGGTCAGTCTTTGGAAGAAGATATGGATGTTTGGGAGATCATAGGTGTGCCCCTCTATTGTCCTAATCCTGGGTATGACGGCGTTGTTGCTTCTCGAATGGGCTGTGGATGCTTTTCTCCGTTGGAGACATGCATTGATTGATTGAATAGTTTATTCGTTCGCGTCGGTTTAGGTATTGTTAGATAAAGAATATGACTATGGCAAAGCTCTTACGCATTATGTCTAAGATGACCTATTGAGAACATACAAAGTGAGCAGGACATTGTGACTACCACGACACTGCCACACGTATCCTAATAAACGCCCGGTCCAATATATAACTTACTCTACAAGAAACCTCCGCCCATATCATCATCATCAGCCATGTCAAACTCTTCAGTAACGTCACTAGGCGCATCCTCAATCTCTTGATCAAGCTGTGCCTCCTTTGCCGCTTTATCATCAGCCGCCTTTCGCTCATCAGCATCTACTCCGCTCCAAATCTGTTCTCTGATACGCAAAGCCATCATGAACTTCCTCCAAGCTTTTAGCGCGCGATGTCGTCTTCGCTCATCCTCTACTTCTTGCTCCAAATCGCCCAGACACTCAATTATAGTTCGCACACCCTCTTCATGCTCCTTTGCGACAACGACGCCAGTCAAGACAGCCGTTCCATGGCGTCCTTTGAAGGAAAAACCTGTAAGGGCGGGTGCGTAGTCTACGCCTGCTAGGAATGCTGCTCGGCCTGCGTGTTCGTGGATGATGTGGGCGCCTCCTGCGGGAACCATGCTTGGTACGTAGACGTCGATGTTGCCAAACTTGTTCTTTGGAACGATGCCATTGCGGACTGGTGGTGGTTCATACAGCTCGGTTTGATCCTCCGTATAGATGGGTGTTCCTGCGTCTCCTTGATTGTCTTCTTCGTAGTCATCGTCCAGCGGGTTCTTTGGTTTGACTTTCTTCGGTAACCATTTGACAGGTATCTCCAACGGTTTCACTTCTCTACCCATTCGATACCATTTATCTGCCGTTCTCGCTATCCGAACATCCCTTCTTCGGTAAATCTTCTCCAGCGGTCCTCGACTACCTGCAGCGACGGTTCCGGATGGTGTAGCATTGGGAATAAGAACCTCGTTACGTCGTAGATGTCGCTCTAGTGCAAAGACGGGGTGGTCTTTGAAGTCTTGTACGTTTCGCGGCATTGGCTCTCTCGCTTCGATACCAATGAGTTCGTTATCCTCGATTTGGTCAAGATCGGTTCGTCGTCGTCGGCCATAGAGTTTCATGACTCGCTTCCACCACGCGTCGCCGTCTTCAGCAACAGTCTCGATTCTTGCTCGTCGCGTTTTTGCCGTGTACGCTTTTGCGTATCTCTTTGTGACGTCCCTTGCCGTACCGTCTGCATCAAACGCCACCACGTACGACAAAAAGTTCTCTCTATCAGTAATGGGAGGCTCCAAAACCCTGGGCTTCCAAAACGTGTGCGTGACTACTGCATCTACCGGCTGCCATTTTTGATGCCCAACATCCAAAATCTCGACCCAGTATACTGGGTATGCTGACTCTTTTATTCGTTTCCGAGTTTCGAAGACAGGTTGAGGTTTCGGGGGTGATATTGTTGGTGTAAAGTTATATGCTGTTGCATTCGGATGACCCAACCTTCGACGTGCCGATGAACCGCTTGACGGTGTCCCGTACCCAGAAGTGGCCATCTCTTGGTACTTAGCCAATGTAGCCTTCACTTGTTCGTTCTTCTCGGCTTTCGTTAATCCCTTCTTTGGCTTCTGCTTCGGCTTTGGCATTGTTGGAGCTGAATTCGTACATGACAAAGGTTGAAGCGAGCAAACAAGTCGTGCTTGTACACCTACACCGCGTAAAAGTGCGCAGTATAGTTGTGCTCCGACATCTCTAGAGCCTTGGAGCCTTTTCGCTGCTTCGCGGAAATCATCGCGATCCAGGCAGCTTTCCATATCCTCAGGCGGCTCATACTGCATAAATGGTTAGTGGTGGAATATGTAGGAGCGGTTATACACACATCGTCCAACTGCTTAGGATCTTCCGCCCAGAGCGCTCGTCGAAGACCCCGTTCTGTAACTTCATATTTCGTCTTCCACACATCTTCAGCTTGTTTCAGACCGGTTTTTAAACTCTCCGTTCGTCCAAATTGCGGGAGATGTGAACCAGGAGTAAGGTACGTGACTGTCTTGTCTGTTAAATGCGGTCGCAAGTAATCCTGTACCCTGCCATCGTTACACCAGTGGTTGCGACGTGCAGCTTGAGCTAATAAGCATAGAATGTGTGCTTTGTGGACATCGATACGGATTTTGCGCTCTTCCTTGGTTATTGGTTTGCGCCGTTCGACTGCCTTTTTTGCTTGCGCTGTGGAGGATTGCTGTGCTGTGAGGTTGAGTTCCAGGGCTTGCGGCGCCTCGGGTTTTGCGCTCAAGTCTTGGAGAGGTACAGTGAAGTCAACGTCCTCGAATATGATATCTTCTTCGTCAGATTCATCGCCGGACTCTAATTCCATGGTTTGCATGGTTGGTTGCGGTAGGATGACATCTTGAAACTCAATATCCTCGTCATCGTCATCTTCTTCATCTGCAGCTTGAGGTGCTTTGCTTGGCTCGGGCTCTTTAGGCACTGGCTCAGGTTCCTCAACTGCTTGTGCGACTAGTTTCTTTGGTGTAGCGCGGCGTCGTTTCAGAGGTCTCTCTGGTGATGACGGAGCTCTTGGATTCACGCCAGCTTCTGCGAGCATGTCCTGGTAGATCTCTCCACCAGTTGGTTCTGTTGGTGCTGCAGTACCCCTTCGGGTGCTTGACCTTGTCGCATGACGTTTGCGACCTACCATTATAGTAGCATATTGGTGATTGATTTACTTAGAGATGTTTTGGTGAAGTAGCGCGCAACTTATCGCAATCGCAAACTTGGTGTGAGTGACTGCCTGCTAGAACCGGTTGCGTCATGGGTATCGCGCTGTTGATCGCGAAGTCACGTGATAGTAATTGCCTGGGTATAGCATCGCTCCCCTGTTTCCACATTATGACTTAACAGAGTAATTTCGTCGTCTTATAATGTCATTTTTAGTTCTGCCTTCTCATCGTTGTTGTTAAAACATAGTTGAGATTACTTTGAAAATCTGATCGATAATTAAAAAGAGTTACCAAGAACCTCAAAGCTGGAGGGTAGTTCCAGTGCAAATCCGAGTTATAGAAGAGCCCACATTCGATAGCTTGTGTACGGACGACTGGGTCCCAGTCGCCAAGATGCTGCAAAACTTGAGCGACTTACTAATGTCCTCATGCATGCCAATGAATCGCGATCATGTGTGCTTACAATGGAAATCCTCCACTTTACTCTATGATCGCTGTGTAGATAGGGTTGCAAGGATCTGCGCCCCTCTGGGCTGTTTCCAAGAGTCAACATTTGAATGCGAGCATTAGTATCCTGATAACCAGGCTGAATGGTTTGAAAATCACCTTCGCCCAAAAAGTTCGGACACATCTTGAGCTATAGTACCAGGATAGGCAAGATGTCCGACGCACACTATGCCGTGGAAGAGGCTTCCAGAGACGAGGACATTCCCGCTCCAACTCATACTGGGAAAGGGCGTTACAAAACTCCTCTGTGGTTCGATGACCATATTCAGACGGTAGAGGAGCTTGTGAAAATTGAACCGAGAATCACGGCTGTTGCAAACACAGAGGACAACAACGACCAGCCATTGGAGAACTCTGTGGACCAGAGCGGAACCGGGTCTCAGGACAGCTGTTTCACTATTAAACAGGAGATACTGGATGATTTCTTGGATAGCATAGCATCCCTTCATTTGGCTGATCCACGACATTTGCCTCCAGGCCGACAATGCACCATCGCGCTGCACACACCGATTCGACGTGGCTTCCAGTTCCTGGACGAGTTGGTCTTGCAGGCCGCTAAGGAGATGCGATGCTCGCTGTTATCATTCAGCCCTTATGAACTTCATGATATCTCTTTCGACTTCTGCCATCAGGAAACGTCCTCGGCAGAGAAGCCTTCTTTCGGAGCAATAGGAGTTAGCGACGCCTGGCCATCGAACGCCAGGACATTCGAGAGGCACTTGGCACGATTTTTTGGCTTTAAGACGATGCGAAAAACCAGTGAAGCTGACACGGAAAATGGCCAAGAAGCTATCAATACCTTGTTCGACGCTGTAGGAGCAAAGACCGAGAGACAAGGCCGGCAGCGCTCTGATAGAGATCCGGATCCTGATCAAATATCAACGGAACCATTGCAGCAAGCGAAGCCTTGGGCCACCCTTGTGTACCTGCGCGATTACACCACTCTGGGTCTTGACCTACGGCGTAGGCTTGTTTGTCGACTGAGAGATGCAATTCTCAAGCGTAGGCTAACTGGTCAGCGAATAACTCTCATAGTCGGCCTCGCACACCCGGAGTCAAACCAAGACCTGGAGTATATTGACCAAAAACCCCCATGGAAGAATACTGAATGCGACTGCACAGTATGTAGTTGCGTTGGGGGACCGCTCGCTTGCAGTCGAGGCTGTGCAGTGTGTTTGACCCGAATCAAACTCGAGGCGACTGGACAGCTATCACAATCCATCACCCCATTGGATGTGCCAAAGAATTGGAAGGATTTGAAGATTTCAAACTGGAGAGGCTCGCGGACTGCTGCACGGATTCGGATGCTCAAGCGGACACTGCACCGACATCTTGCACACCTGGGTTCTTCTCCTCCCCTCCTGCTGGATCCTGGGTATAACTTGTCATCAATCCTGTCCGAAACCTGTCTGGACATCTTTACAACTGAGTCGTGTTGGGAATGGGACAAGGCATTTGAGAATATGGTGTCGCGCATCATTGGAAGATGTCTAAGAAAACAACATGTTGACATTACCGACATCGAGTCGATACTACATCGATTGGCAACTGAATTGCAAGCAAGGAATGACAAAGAAAACACTACGTTATCGCCGGAAGACCAAGCTGCAAAGTGCTGGCAAGAAGAATTGAGCTCGATAGGAAGCAATTGCACCGAATGGGAAACTGTCCTTCTTCCTAATGTGATTAATCCAGGTACGCATGGTGCACTTTTGGCTGACTAGGGGTCATAAGCCGTTGAATTCTATAACTGACCCTGCCGATAGCTTCACTCGAAACTACTTTGAATGATGTGGTGTTGAATCAAAATGTTTTGACGAGAATCACGACTCTTGTCAAACTGTCTAAACTAAAGCCGAATGCCTCCTCTGAAGCGCTTCTTACTCAAATGCGTGTCGCCGGTGCGTTACTTTATGGTCCTCCAGGAACTGGCAAAACCCATCTTGCGCGGGCAGTTGCGAAAAGTTCCGGGACCAAATACTTGATGATGGTGGACGCTGCCACTGTCCTTCACAAATGGCAGGGTCAGTCCGAAAAGGCAATCGCCGCGATCTTCTCTCTTGCGCGGAAGCTATTTCCATGTCTTATCTTCCTCGATGAGGCAGATGCTCTCTTCTACAAACGAACCGGAGATGACAAAAGTTGGGAACGAGCAAATACCACTCAGTTCCTCCAGTCAATGGATGGTTTGCTAAAGCTAGAGAATATGCCATTCCTACTCGCTGCTACCAACCGACCAATGGATTTAGATAGTGCCTTTTTACGTCGACTTCCACACAAAGTTGCGTTCGATATGCCAGATCAACACCCGAGAGCTCTGATCCTGCGGTTGTTTCTAAAGGAAGACGATCTTGATAGTGTTGACATTGATGATCTTGCAACCAGGACTGCGGGCTTCTCCGGATCAGATCTCAAGAACTTGTGTGGACAAGCTGCGCTTGAATGGGCTTCAGAGCAAAGCCTAGATCTGGAAGAGAGCGGCAAAAGTCCTAAGGTCCTTCTGAGCGACAGACACTTCCATCGTGCACTCAGTAACACCCGTCCGACTGTGTCACAAGGTGATCTCCTTCAGATAAACACCTTTAAGCAACGCTATAATGCGATGATGTCAGCCTTGCCTAGCAGAGCAGATATCAAAAGCCAACACAAGTGAGTCTCCTACTACAGCCAAAGATCAAGAGCGAGACTTTCCTGCGCCACATTCGCATCATGTATAACCTACAAGAATTGAAGGGCAGCAAACTCCAGTGACAGAAGAAGAAAATTCAGACACTGCCATGGCAAACGATGACTGGAATTTAATTCAAAGCCTCTAAGCCGCTCAGCATTGCCAGTGAGGAGACTATACCCATCATCAACCCCTCAGAAGGATGCATTGAATCTGGAGATAAGATTTGGGACTTGCACGGATTGTACACATCTGTCACTGCGCAAAGTTGGCGAGGGCAGATATCAAATGATTGCATGCGTCTACGTTCATAGTATCATGCATGGTGAGACTGTATCTTCTGGAGATGGATCTACTGAAATTGCGATAGAATAGACACTAGATAACCAGTGTTTTGATGTAAGTAAGTAATATGAGTTTGTGTGAGAGTACTGACGAAAACAATCCCCTCTGTTTTCAGAAAATGACTTTCTCTATCCATATAATTATGCTGTGTTGTTGTTTAGTACCTGTTCTTTTTTGTCTCATCAATCGTTAATGTCGGAACACCGAATCCCGATCAGTAATTCGGAAACGCCAACGGGGCTTAAAAGCCGACCCAAGTTTCTGCGTTGACTAAGTTTCCCCGATTGAGGGCTTACTCACCACCTTAAGCAGGGTTGCATCGTCAGCAAGCCAGCCTATTGTTCACTAATCTTACAGCACCACCCTGCCCAAACCAATCATTTTGAGTTGCACTAAACGACATGTTCAGCCATTGAAATACTCAACCGGGGTTTTTACAATGCCGGTAGGAAATATGTGCTTTGTCATGATAGCTTCAAGGATGGTAGAGGTTTGTATTTGGCAGTTTAGTAGTTATATGCTGAACATAAAATGACAGTAACGACTCTCTGAGAGTAGGACCATCACAAGGAATACACCATCAATACTATTCGATCAACTCCTAATTCTATACTTATCCCATCATGTCTGATAAGCCCATCGTCTTGGTAACTGGCGCCAATGGCTACATCGCCGGCAGTGTCGTGGAAGCTTTCCTCAAAGCAGGATATGCTGTTCGAGGCACTGTCCGATCCAAGGCCTCCGGAGATTCTCTTGTAAAGGCTCTTTCGTCATATGGAAGCGACCTCGAGATTGTCGAAGTACCGGACATTGTTGCTCCTGGAGCTTTCGATGCCGCTGTGAAGGGTATGTCACTAGGCTCACCAATTATAAATAACTTCTAACGAGACCAGGCGTACATGCAATCCTGCATCTAGCTGCCGCAGTTAGTCTGAGCTTCACAGACCCTGATCCAGTTCTTGAAGTTTCCATCAAAGGCACTCAGGGCGTCCTGGAGTCTGCCCTCACTGAGCCGTCAATCAAGTCAGTTGTCTTGATGTCGTCTATTGCTGCCATAAGCGGTTCTGGCAACCCACCTTCAAACCGAGTCACGGAAGCCGACTGGAATGTCGCTGCTTTGGATGCCGTCAAGAAACTCGGCAAAGAGTCGCCCGGTCCATTGATCTACGTTGCGAGCAAAGTAGCTAGCGAACGAGCCTTTTGGAAGTTTCGCGACGAAAAGAAGCCTTCTTTCACAATGACTGCTCTCAACCCTACGTAAGCTTGACCTCACAAGCCAGTCCTCGTTCTTATGTAACTAACAATGACTTTGCAGTTTCGTCATGGGACCACAGCCAGCCCTCGACTCCATCTCCAAGATTGGTGGCACGACTGCCTTCATCTGGCAGGTACTCTCAGGCCAGGATATTCCCGAGCCGTTAGTCCCGAACCCTAGCTATGTGGATGTTCGCGATGTTGCCCGAGTTGCAGTGTTCAGTGTCGACCATGCTGAGAAGGCGAACGGAGAGCGGTTCTTACTGACAGCCGGCATGGTACCCCCTCAGGCTGCTGCGGATGTTCTTCGCAGGGCATATCCTGATAGACAGGATATTATCAAGGTTGGAAAACCTGGCGAGGGATACTATCCCGGCTATGCGTTTCCCAAGGAAAAGATCCTTGACACTTCTAAGACTGTCAAGTTTACAGGGAAGGAGTTTTACCCGGTTGAAAAGTCAATTGTCGACACAGCCAAGTCTTTGGAAAAGTTCTTGTAGGGTGGTATGCCTAATGTGGTCGCGTGCTTCTGCATTCACGGTATCATGCACAGTGTCGCCGTATTCTCTGGAGATGTATATACTAAAATCGACAGAGAATAGAAACTGGTACACTGCTGGCCCAATGCAACTTATTATACGAGTTATCCCATTGCCCCATGCTTGGACACCATGCGTTAAGACTTGCTCAGCTTTTCGACCAGATAAGATGAAGTATTCAGGCATCTCATGCTCTTACCCATACCGTCACTGTCTGTTGTCCTGCCGCAGACGCTGAAGAACCATCCCCGAGAACTTTCTTCTGTGGTAGGACTGCATCTTCCACAGAACCACTCACAATAGTTGAGTGGATTCGTGATTAAAAACTAAGTTTTTTATTTGATGCATTTTTTTTCTTCTTGAAACCTTGTAGCATATAGCCTTTATTTTATGTTTTAGAAAGAGCTATTGCTGAGAAGGCTGAGCTTCTGTGCAAACTTAGTAAGGAAACTTCCAAGTGTATAAACGCAAAACAAAAGCTTTCCCATGATTCCAGAAGAGTTATGAATCTGTTATTCTTATATAGTATTGTCTTCAAAAAGCCGGCTTCTGCTAAATCCTTGAGCCATGATAAATCGCCTTGATGTAGACACGGTCTTTTGTGGGTTGGGTCTCTTGTGAGGTGGCCTTGGGTATCAGGATAATTGACTGCCGAAAGCTTAAGAGAGGAAAGAGTAGAAGAGTTTATGTTCCTTAGTTATAGTTCTTGGAATATTTATTTTCTAAACCTTGAAACTTAGAATGTTAACTTGTCTATCTACTAGGGTGGCAGACACTAAAACCCAAATGTTAATATTCCTGATGCTATGTGAACTTAGACCTAATAGTCTAAGTTTACAAGTTAGAGAGTTTGCATAAGTGATGAAACTCAGTGCACGTCGTCCTATATATAAAGAGCCAATGGCTCCCATGTTCATCCTCCAGCAACTTGCACTTTACTTTCAAAAGGCAAACTCCCAACTACCCACTTCAACCTTTGCTATATTCACCGATTCTTCTACAGAGCCATCGAATACCCACCCACGCAAGTGATTCACGAAAGAAAGGCATTGTCTTACCACCACCAGTACCGCCAAGAAAACACCACATGTATTCAACCATGGATTTCATCATGGACGTTCTTCTAGTTGCCACGACTGCGGCTATATTTCTTAGAAAAGGACCCGTGAGACTTGGTTGGATATTTCGATACACGCCAGTAGCTCCCGCACCCAGGGGTTGCAACTATGCCTCCGCTTTCTGGTATTATCTCTCACACAGGCAATGCTTTAACCAGTTCCTAGGCATAGTGATCAGGCTCCACTATCCACGGTTAGGGTGTAGTTGTTCATCAAGATTTACCATCGATGTCTTGTGCGATTGTCTCTGGCCATTCAACGGGCTGACACAATTGCTAATTGTTCTCTGCGTCTCGTACCTGGCCAGTGGTCTGTTGACAGCTCGGGACGCCGGTATGGAACTACCGCCTACAAGGTCAACTAATGCCCCTCAACTCCTGGAGAAACAACGGATAGAAGATCAGATCAATGCATGATGATTTTCTCATACCTAGGTACCTGTTTGTGCCCAGAAACAGAGCCATACTTGATTATCCAGTGACATACCGTGACTTCCCCAAAGGTAGTCCCGTTGTTATTCTCAGTTGACGGAAGGTGTTCCTACCTTTGGAGGTGCACATTACTTACCCCTGGATCTTGGGTAAGTGCCAGAGCGCGTTTCTCTGCCGTGTCCTTCCTTCGAAAAATAGTGACTTCCAACAAAACGGCGAGTTTCCCTGTGTCTCTTGCCTTATCCAGGCAGTATGGCATGTTCCTGTTGCTTCAAGAACTGTTCCTCAACGGAAGGTACTCCCACGAAAGAAGTTGAGTATACCCAAACGTCTGCGAGCCTGGAGATCTTCTCTTCTTTTCTTCTTCTTCAAGCCAGATTCTTATCCCTATACAAACAGCGCAAACATGATTGTAACTATCATCTTCTGCATCTCCCCAGAGGTCACGTGCTAACATTTTGACAGACCACTCTCTGCCACGATCTCTGGCGCCAGCCGCCCTATGAGGTGCTGCTCATCTTTACGGTCCATATGCCAGACTTGGTTCCACATGAGCTTCGTGCTGGTCAAATTTATAGCCAGCCACCGAGCCAAATCGACAAGCCGCAGCTTGCGTAGCCCAAGCCTGTCTTCTGGTCATCATGTTACTCTGGCCACTGCTGCAAAGATGGCTTTTGGTTTGAACAAAAATACCCGAAAGGAGTTCAGAAGCTTACTCGCACAACTTTGATCAATATCCTGAACTAGTCATGGCCAGGATTCTACCCCACAACTCTTGAGTAAACCTGTGTGGACGGAAATGAATAAAGGTCCCTGCGAATTGAAAGATATCAGACCTTGAAGGTCACTGAGTCAAGCCCTCTGTGTTGGGAACTGTGGAAATTCCTATGTTTCACCGTCATGATGGTGCAGCGTTTGTTAGAGGTTTGGGTTATATGTATTGGAAGATAATAGTTGAGGTTTCCATGACTATTCGGGGTTGGAATATGGAAGAATCAAATGGAGTTTTGTTGGCACAAAGTGGACAAGGAATCCCCAAACGAGGTCTTGGAAGCACATGTTTGTTAATGTAGGTTAGCTACCTGGTGTATTGGCTACAGCTTAGGAACTCACAGATTCATATCAATCTACTCGTTTGTCTAAGTTGAGTAATGCTAGCATCTTCAATTCGTGATATATAGAGAAAGGACTCTCTATCTTTCCATGCCATGTCGGAGAGCTCATTAATCGTGAAAGTTTGCCTGTCATACTGACTCCATGAGGCATACAGTCCATATGACAGTGTTGTACGCACTGTCCTCAAACTGTTCTGTCATTTCCCGCGGGAAACCCACCTCTCAACATTCACCAACACCATCATTAATGCCGCGGAGAGATTTCCCAACCAACGATTGATTCCAAACAACAACTGCGACAAGAAGTAAAAGATGCGCCCATATAGATCTCATCTCCGACCGGCCTGTGTTCCCTGCCGAAAGCGCAAATCCCGCTGCCAGTCCGATGAATCGGGCGAAGCTGCTTGTCTTATGTGCCGAGCCCATCGCACTGAATGTGTATATCCCCCAAAGTTTAGAGTACTAGATCCATCATCGACTCCCAAATCAAGGCGACGGGCAAAACGAGACTCCCGCGCCTCGGTTGCTGAAACCCCACGTGACGGCTCCAACCCGGGACCTGCGTCAGTGCTAGATGATTCACTTATTGAGCAGTCCACACTGAGTATAGGACCGGACCCAATACCCACACCAACTCATGAATCTATTCAAGATACAGGTGCAAGAAACGCAGCCCCGGTTATCTCTCCATTGGCATCGAGAAGCACAGAGTGGCCACCCCAACAAGATGCTCAACCTGAGGAGTCGCCATTGGCACTGGGATCCAACGATGAACAGCAGCATAATCTTCATATAGTTGGACCGACAGTAACATCCGATAACCAGGTATTATCAGACTACCTGTCTGCAATGCCTAGTTCAGCAAGAGGGTCGCGGATTGTCAGACCAGTTCCGGGAAACAGATCTCGCCCTGTCCTATTCACCATGGTACAGAAGCGACCGGTAGGATTGGACTCAAATCGCACTTTCCCTGAGGAAAGACTCCAACTCATTGAGAAGATACTGGAGCCTTTTGCCAGTGATGTTCTAGATGTGTAAGTCTATATCGGAATGATGCAAGACACTGCTGACGTCTCCAGTTATTTCGAAAAGGTCAACTCGTCCTTCCCTCTACTCGATGAAGCGCATTTCCGTAAACAGTACAGGGAGAAGAAAGACAGCATATCTCCCGCGCTACTCAGCTGTTTATACGCTCACTCGATAATCTTCTGGAATAGCTCTCCTACCCTGTCTCGCCACAGGTGTCCCGATGGACGCTTTATCTGGAATCTTGCTACCGAAGCCATATACTCGCAAATCCACAGGTCTCCCGGTATATCTGTGATTGAAGCTGCCATCTTGAACATTGGTGGGCGCGAAGTGACTTCTCTCATTGGCAATGGGGTTTTGTTCGCCTCCTCAATCGCAATGGCGCATTCGTTAGGTCTGAATCACAGCCCAACACCATGGGAGATCCCACAATCCGAGAAGAATCTACGGATGAGAATTTGGTGGGCACTTTTGATTCATGATAAGTGGTGTGTAGACATCTCGATCAACTCCATCCCCGTCAGTCTAACGCGTTCACAGGTTGAGTTTAGCTCATGGAACACCTCCCGTCATCTCCTCCAGTCTGAACGATGTGCCTAAACCACTTGCGGAGAACCTCTGCGAAGAAGGTGCATCATCAGACAAAATGCTCAAAGCTACCATATACATCGCTCTTGTAGGGCTTACGGACGTTTTGGACTTGCATTTGAGGCATGTCCATCAACTCAGAAACGCGGACGATCCTAGACGCACGACACGCCTAGAACTAGCATTGAACAGTTGGGTCGAAAATCTTGGTGATGACATCCGTCGGGTCGTCATTCGTGGAACGAATCTGGCAATTCCTGGCGCCGCAAACTTGCGCCTGTCGTATTTGACCGTCAGACTGTTATCCCAGAGAATTGACCTTGAAGAAGAGAAGCGCATCCGAGAGGCTAACGATAGCCGCCTGTTAAATTGCTATATGCAGGCTAGAAGAACTGCAGAAGATATCCTCATTCTGGTGCAGGAGTTACATGCAGAACATCTTGCAGACTTTTGGCTTCCAAGCAGCGCCTTTGCACTGTCCACGACAGTCAGCTTCCTTCTTCGGTGCGCTCTAGAGACGGAGAACTCTACTTCAGGCCTCGTTCAAAGCTCTTCATTAAAGATTGCTTCCGACCTCTTATCTACTCTTCGGTCGCATAAAGAGAAACATGCTTGGGATCTTGGCGATATATGTTTGGCTCAACATACCGAAGTTGTGGAAAAGCTTCTGGCGATTACTCCGCCCGAAGATCCGAGTGCAGAAGAGCCACAGGACTTTTCCAACTTTTTTATGTCTGATGATGCGTTTCTTGATCAATTGTTTCCGAGCTTGTGGGATCCGTTACAAAATGTCTGGTAGTCAACATTTCCCGCGGTAAACCTTAGCAGTTGGTGTTTAGGGTACAAAAATAAATAGCATAAGCTGACCCAATAATTTCGTCTCTCATGGTTTCCAGCGACCAATTTTTCTGATGTGTCGGCATACACATAGCCGTCGTGGCCGGTATTTCGTTTCCTCGTAGCCCTCAAGCCTGGCATACTTTGCAAGCATAGTGCAAAGACCCCCACCGGGGCCATTCAGATGTCAATCTCTCCGGGCTCTCTACCGCAGTCGCCCACAGGTCTATGTAATGGTCAATCTCCGACCTATCCCGTTCAGAAGCCGATTGCCAGTCATCAGCACCGATAGGTTGATGGTGCAAAAAGGGATCCACGGCTTCACTTTCAACGCCCTCCCCATTGTTGATAAAGGCAAGGATCTCCTGCTCAGGTATTATTTGGGCTGCCATAGTTTGATCCTCTTCCCAAGGGCCCAACCCTATACTCTCAGATACGCAAACTGAGAACCTGTGTAACTTTATAGAAGGGTCGGCAGCCACAAACCTAACCACTTCTAAAAGCCCTGTTTCGCTTCCGGTGCAGTTGTAGAGAAGAATGTGTTGTAGCGTTTCTGCACGCTTTGCAAGCAATTCGTTGAAATCTTTGACGGAAAAGGTCAGGTTCACAAGTTTGAGTGTACTCAAATGTTTAAATTCCAGTGTGTGGAGTCCTGGAAAGATGGTTGAATCTCTAATATCGTGTTCAACTTCAGAATCGGGGTCGGTCGAGCGCAGAGACAAAACTCGGAGCTCCTTAGCAGCAGAGACTATATCGAGCATATGGGCCTGCAACTCTCTTCGATGGAACTCGGATGATATGGCTGAAGGGAAAGTAGCACAAAGATCGAGCTCCTTGACATTACGCAATCCGAAGGGATCGAGTCTGACCCTTAGTGAACGGAAAGCTTCGATCAAACCCCTATAGTACGTAAGCGGATGACCATCGAAGTCACATTCAGGCCTTCTATCTCCCATGACGATACTCTTGCATAAAAGACGAACAGACTCGATTTTCGACCCATAACAGAGCATAGCTGGCACAAGGAAGTTGTCGAAAACCTGAAGAAGATCCAACTTGGAAAATTCGTCGGTGAGGAAAAGGCGTCCAAGTGGTGGTGCCGAATCTCCGCGCCACAGATCACCTTGTGACTGCGAAGGATGTAGCATGATGGTGGTAAAGGTCCTGAGATTGACCATGGCGTCTAATCCCTCCAAGAAGAGTGGGCGGAAATTCGGGATAGCATCACTAGAGAGAAAAGTCTTCAGCCAAGTCGGCGAGATGTTGAACTCTTCCGTGTGGCATAACGAATTCCATTGCAGAATACGAACATGGGCCGCCAAACGTGGCGAAGAGGATATGCCTAGGAATTGAAACTGTTAAGCTTGCATCTCTTTTTAGATTGACAGCAAGCCGCCACGCATACCTAGGAATTGAAGCCGATGCTTCTCTAAGAAGGACAGTCGTACGACACTGAAGAGTCGAGGGAGGAGGACTGGTTCGTCGAGAGAGGGCCAAACAAGGCGCATAGCCCCAAGAGCTCGGCAGTCTAGATACTCCAGGACATTGTACAGAAGCTCTTGTGGAATATTATGGAGACTCGTCATAGCGCTGTGAATCACTGAAGATTTGAAGGTCGTGCGTGTTTCACTGACAATGTGAATGTCGTGATTCACTGAAGGTTTGAATGCCGTGCGTGATTCACTGACATGTGAATGTTGTAATTCACTAATTTTTTTTCGTTCTAAGCCAGGTTTGCAGTTCAAGTTGAGTATACCAAGACGGTTAGTTTATCTCTTGATATGTAATAAATAAAATAGATGCGAATTGTTGTTGAAGTGCAAATGGTGAGAGGGGGAAGTTGCATGCCTGGACATAGTTGACCTGCATAATTGGGGGTCATCACGTGCTTGGTTGGATCTTAATAGGCTACCATCCACTGATTAAAAAGCTGGGAAAAAGATCTCTCAGACAGGTACCCAGAAACCTATTTCTAGGTATATATAGGTAGCTACTGAGACCTATCTATCCTGGGAATGGCAATCTGACTTTTGTCTCTTCCTGAGACCCATGTTTTTCTCTAATATCCTCAAGAGGCGAGTGGGTATCAGAAAGGTTGGCCTCCCAAGCCTTTGCGTATAAAAATAAATAGTCTAAAATATAGTCTAAAGAGCATAAAACATCTCTTATGCTTTCAGCGGTTAATTTTGTGATATTCTAAGGATCGATAATTGGAGATTATCACATGCGTGGATATTGGTAGGCTACCATTCACTGAGTAGAACGGCATACCCTTAGGATAGGTAGGTACCGAGAGTAAATATCCGAAGACCAGGTCTAATATGTCTGAAAATTACTAAATAATTACGTCTTCGACAAGTAATGTCAAGCCGCCTACGACCCCAAAGAAAGGGATGTTTTGCATCTGCTCTTCTAACAAGAACCTAGAAGACCTTGGACTGGATGGAACCCGCCTATGTGGTAACAAAGCATCTATTCGCATGCAAGGTCCGAGTTTCCAATGCCAGTCCCGAGCTTTTGCCAGCATATTAACATGCAGACATTACCAAGACTAAGGACTACGACGACCAAGTGTTAAATTCATCGGAGGTATCATTTGGAATTCAAACCTCACGAGAGCTGTAGACAGGAGTGTTCTAGCACTCGAGTCTTCACCGACAACATACTAGAGCTGGTCAACTATTAAAGACTTCATTGCTCTTCTGGTCTCTCTATATAGACTAGGTGGCTCTGTTGTTCAGTCCCAGTCCATAATCTTAGGTCATTTATCTCTGTCTTCTACCTAATAGCCACTACCGATACATCAAGAATCAAGTAATAAGAACACCAACATTTAAAAACAGCTTGCATGGGCTGTCTAATACACCAGCGTATCCAAATCTCCTAAAATGGATTCAACCATCAGCCCCCTAGTCTCTCCTCCTTCTCATCCTCCTGCTAACATGTCTGCAAACAATTTACCCAGAGCGGTAAACATAGAAGAAAACTCTTTCTTGATCAAAGATCTGTTCTTGCCATCAATGACTCTATGAGCGTATAGCTCCTGGAAGTTACCGCATGTTTCTTGTTCATACTTGACACATCCGCATGTATCACACATTTCTTTGTTCGGGTATGTCTTGTATAGGCAGTATCAACAACACGTTGTCCAAATTTCCTCGGGGGAGTCTCGAGCCCTACGGCGATATTGGTGCGTGAAACTAAAAACGGGTCGAATCTTGAAGCATTCAAAACAGAGCAACTCGGTGGCCGGGAAGATACCCATGTTCTGAGTCCGGTTCGTCCATTTCTCGGTAAGGAATTGATGTCGCGTGTGCAGTGGGACCCATTCATGAGGCTTGACGACATCATTCAATCTGCGGCTAACTTGAGCAAAATTCAGAACCTCTCCAAAGTCCAGGAATGATGATGTCTTTGCCAACGTGTACGCGAGGAGGTTCTCAATCCCCTGGGGTTTTCGCCGCGGTTGCGCACAAAGAGCCATGGCTGCTTCAGCTTCAATTTCCCCCGTGTCAGAATAAATTCGTTTCCCACGGCATCTTTCAGACTCTGTACGATAATCCCTGCAGTTGTGGCAGAAGTAATATGTTAACTGGGAGTCTAAGCGTTCGGCCGGCTCCAAATGGGGCCATCGGTTCGAAGCCGCAGTACAGTCAAGACAGGACTGAGTCAACCAACTGTCATAGTCAATGCACTCATCGTATAAAAACTTCTTTTTTGGTAGAAATCTCAGGCATTTGCTGCAAACCGAGACCTTGATGCCTTTGCGACGGAGACGCGAATGATGCACGATTAAGAATTCGAGGGCCTCAATACCTAAGGTTGCCCTTGGGTTGAGGACATCGTGGAAGTATCGGTTTGTTGCTGCTAACCTAAGAATACCTCTGTATCCTAAGTGCTTTCCGATTTAGAAATGGATATCGTAAGGGAGTCCTTTAAACGACGTGATGTTGTGTTGTGTCATCTTGGCTGGGGAGAGGGTCGTGTAAGTCAAGTCTCGACTGTTAAGGATCATAGTCCAAGGGGGGTATTTGAGTGTTTATGAGTATTGCAGGATGGGGAGACTTTCTATTTACGAAGTAAATTTCGAAAAGCTTCTTCTATAAGCTATAGCCTACATCATAGAGTTAAGTCTTTGCCATATTGACAGCTAGGCAGCTGCTCTGTCAGTCAGATTCAGATCGTATGTGTTCTTAAATTATCGTGAGAGTAGGTTTATTCTTATGGCATATTGAGTTTTCGACCTGCGCGGATAGATTATTATTATTATTGAGAACTTCAATAAAATTGAGGAGGCGTGGGCGAAAGTTGAAGAACTAAAAAACATAAATCTATTTACATGTCTTGAGTTGCTAGGAAGGCTTGGGCTTCAGTTTTGGTTCATAAGTAATACAAATGCAAATAAAGTAAATTTCTTTTCTGGAGGTTAATCATGTCCTCAAAATCACGGTCTTCTTTGGCCGTGTCAGTAGTTAAGTGACGTCTATTCACGTTTCTTAGTCCTTTGTGTTCATGGTGACTACAGACATGAATGACTACCTAGGCAGACAGTGAATTGATGATATCTACAGACACAATTTTAGGTGGCGATTCGGTATGCTTGAAGTATAGGCTTGTTACTTAATAAGAAGATATATCACGGTATGTACTGGTCTTGCAATACAAGTTTGAGCCAAGATGTCAATTCATGAGTTACCTAGCTACGAAAAGAATGGCATGAGAGCAAAGGAATGGGCTAGGCAGCATGTAATTACTCCTGAAGCAATACTTCAATCAAACTCTAGATCCTACTCCAAACTCAGTCACAAATGGTAAAGATTCCCAGGCCAAAAGACAATCGTGCTTAGATAGTCGGCATCGCATCGGGGACCTAGTCGTGACTCACTGAAGTCCACGATTCCAATGGGGCCACCCCATCGAATGATCGACCTCAAACATTTTGCAAAACAAAACTGCGAATCAAACCATCTCCTCAGGATCCAAGTTCCCGTTGTAGATCTTGCGATCAGGATGCACAAACTGTCCCAGAGAAATCTCCCAAGTCCAGTCCTCGGGAAGAATCCAAGTCTCATTCTTGGCAATCCTCATGGCAAACCCTGTCTCGGAGTAACCAAGAGCTCTAAGGCGAGCGACAGTTGCCTCGGGAGCAGCCCTCGGATCCTTCATGTCAGCAACTCTTCTGGTGAGCATCTTTCGACATGGCTCGCAGTGGGCGTAGACGGATACTCTTTCCACAGCGCATGAGAGTCTTCGACAGCGATTCTCTTTAATGAGTCGCGTGCGCATATGATCTTCCAGTATAGACCTGGCTGGTAGCTCTCCTTGTCGAACGAGGTGGTACACAACCCAGTTCTTCTCGTTACTCTCAAAATAGGTTCTCACGCCCTTTTCTCCCATCTTGAACTCACAAACCTCGCATACCTTTTTCTTTTGACGATAAGGATAGTACTCGCAGTGCGGACACTTACGCTTGGGGCTGGGCTGCCAGAGACTGGGCTTATCCACGTCTGCGGCGATCAATTGTGAGAAAATAGTCATGATGTCGTTAGTATTTCGTACAACTCTTGGTGGACAGTGTGTCTCTGTAGTATCAAACTTCTCTGAGGGACGAAGAGTTAACATAAAAAAGAGTAAATTGCATTAGCTAACAAAAAATCTGGGTATATATAGTCGTAAATCATCATGTCCCGCTCCAAGTGAACAAACGCATTGTGCATACTGAAATCCTGCGTAAATCATGAACAGCCGAACCTCCGTCCCCTTTTTGTTTCCGGAAAACAGTGAATGAGCCCTTTCAAAACTGAATGTTGTGCCGTGAACAAAGGAATAAAATGTAGTGATGTCGTTCTTTGAGTTTGATCAACCGCCAACTTTTTGGTCTTTCTCCCTTCCATCTCTTATGTCCTCAATTCGTCATAATGTTGTTGACTTTTCGTTTCCGATGTGCATATATTGGTGAGGCGGGTAGTTTGTTAAAGGTGTGACTGGTCGTGTCATTTTGGGTCGTCGGTGTGCTTTGACTCGCTTGACGAGGGCGACAGAGATGACGCCTAGAACCATGAGGACTTCCACCACGAGAAGGCCGACGTAGACGATGTTGAGTATTTTTTGCTCACGCAAGTAAGCAAATGTGGTCATACTGCCGGGCAGCGGTGCGGAGCTTGGAACAAGAGGCATGGTAGTTTCTGATTAATTTGTTAGTCGCAAACCATGAAAGAGAGACATGTACGTCACATACCTTGATATTTAACAAGCCTTGAAATAAGAAATGACTGATGGGTATATTCTTTTTGATCCTCCTTTGAAGCGATATGTGTAAAAGAGAGAATACTCGAATGACCAAAAAAGAAAAGGTGAGCGGTGAAATGAAATCACCAACAAGGATAGAGGGAAAAAGAGACGAGGTCCTGTCCCCAAAAACTGGGAATATGGGTTCCTTTTTACCTGGACCGTTACTAGTTTGTTTCCTTGGCGTCGAAACAAAAGAGAGTGGGAAAAAGCTTATGGTGGTGTGCTCTGCTTCCCTTTCATGGCATGGTTAGATGTTAGTTAATAGTAGTAGGGTTGCAAGTTCGCTTCAATGCGGTCTGGTCTCTGGGGGAGGCGTTAGAACCCAACCGCTTAGACCGCCTTGAAGCCCGTGATGGATCTCGTTTAAACACGAGAGGGGGCGTTTTTTTTTTTTCCGCCCTGGCTGGCCTGACCTGTAATCAATACTTTGTATGCAGTAAGATCTGGCTGAACACACACACAGTGGTATTTAGGTTTATATTTGCGAAAGCCTCGTATCGCCAGGTGTCCTTTTCTCTCTGTATTTCCCCTTTCTTCTCGTTCCGTTCTTGACAAAATGAGAAAGAGAAAAAATAGAGAGGCGATCCTGGTTGAGGAACAAGGATCATAAAGACCCTGGTCTTTAAAGTCGATCGCCAACCTGGCTTGTGACCCTCAGCGCTTGTCTAGAGAAGCGGGAGAGTGGGCTTAGGTGATGTACTTTGCCAGATGAGGAAGAGGATTAAAAAATAGAGAAGTGGCGAGCGGTAATTTTTGTTGGAGGCGTTTTTATCTCGTGATGGTTGATGGTGGTGTCTGTATTTGATACGAATGGTGTTTAACTCTAATAATGCGAATACTATTATGGCATGACTACTATCGATTATAGCATAGTCATCTCCCTGCGAAGTAAGGGTTTGTCGCACATTGATGGAGGATGTGATGAAAACTAATTTACCACTAAATTGAAGAGTCGCATTGGAAAAATCCCATCAGCGCTTGATGGACAGGGGTTTGATGCGATAGAATGGAGACGTGTTAGTTGGCAAGGTAAGAGATAAAGGCGGTGATGAAGAGCGGATGGTCTGGGCCTTTTTTTCTCACCAAATCAATGGTATAAGTGGGATTCAATCACTCAATATTGTACGATTTTATTGAAGATGGAACTATCACGACTCTTGACTCTCATGTCTGTAATAAAGTCTCGTAATTTTCAGCCCTTTATGCGTCGTGCGTCAAAGAGATTAATTTAGAACCCAGACGCCGTCTAGGAACGGACGGTTACTGTACCTTACCCGCAACACGGGAGCAATTAGCGCCCATGAGGATATGTACTAAACCCAACACATAAAAGGTCTCAGAGAGGTCACGTTTACATTGCAGACACTCTCTGCATAGGGAACAGTCAAATACAAAACGCCATAGTAAATGCATCATCGTCAGATACGCGTGTCAAGACGCGTAGACGAATATCTCATGACTTTATTTGCATGGTGTATCAATCACCATGCTACGGAAATAACAAGAATAAATGATCATCAGCCAAGATCATCACAAGAAAAAGGGTCTTGACATGTGAAAAGAAACTTCATTCATCTGCAACTTGATTTGGTCTGAGACTGTTTCATCACCTCGCCACAGAATGACAGCTTCTAGTTTGTTCTTGAGAATGCCAATCCCAACAATTAATGATCTGCTAAAGGGTACTTGTCTTTTCGCCTACGAATCAGTGTTATGCAATGTAACTCTTAACAGCATTCACGTGCATGTCATGCCATCAAACTGGCTCCCTCTGATGACGTCGCTCAATTGCCCCGCAGTCCAGTTCCCCTCCACAGAAGCTCGCAGCTCCAGCTCCGGTCGGTCCCATTCCCAACCAAGCTACAGAGACAAATAGATACACTGCCTGGTTGCCTCGTCACGATCACTCTTGGTGTCGTCATTCCTACTAAACCATTTGCTAGTTTATAAACAGCTGCCTCCCCTTTCATCACCTGCATATCGTACCTTTTTACTCACAAGTTTGATACCCCCTAAACAAAACAACACAACACACATTCACCATGTCTGCCAACTCTACTATCAACGTCAAGAACATCGCCCCCGCCACCAGCGACAGCGAGATCAAGGACTTTTTCAGCTTCTGGTAAGAATCATCCCTCTTCTATCCCTTAACTTAAAACTAAGCTAACAATCATCCAGCGGCAAGATCCAAGATCTCAAGGTCACTCAGGACGGCGAGACAAAGTCCGCAGAGGTCATCTTCGAGAAGGAGACCGCCAAGAAGACTGCTCTCCTCCTCAACAACACCCAGCTCGGCACAAACCATCTTGAGGTCACCAGCGCCACCGCCGATGGTGACGACGATGTTCCCACAACCAAGAATGCTGATCGCGACTCCGACGAGATCACCCAAGAGGAGAAGCCCCGCGCCCGTATCCTGGCCGAGTACCTCGCCCACGGCTACGTCGTAGGTGACGCCGCCATCCAGCGTGCTCTTGACCTCGATGCCACTCACGGTGTCACCAACCGCTTCTTCTCCACCCTCAAGGGTCTCGACGAGAAGTACCACGCCACCGACCGGGCCAAGGCCACCGATGAGAGCTACGGCATCTCCCAACGTGCCAACAGCCTGTGGCTCGGCTTGAGCTCTTACTTTGAGAAGGCCTCCAACACACCCACCGGCAAGAAGATTGCCGATTTCTACACCGAGGGCAGCCGACAGGTCCAAGAGGTCCACGCCGAGGCTCGTCGTCTTGCTGATCTCAAGAAGGAGGAGCACGGTGGAAGTGCCTACAAGGCTGCTGGTCTTGAGAAGGTCTTTGGCAAGGAGAAGACTTCTGATACTGCCGCTCCTGAGGCTGGTCACGGTGCTCTGGGAACATCAGTTCCTGCTGCCTCTGCGGACAACGGCCCCAATGTGAGCGCTCCCGAGTCTGGCGAGAAGCACTAAACGATCAAAAATGGAGGAAAGGTTAATCAAGATGGATGTTTTTTTGTAGCCCTGATGAGATAGTATTATTGTGGCTTTGTTTAGCCTGTTAACGAATTGTTACGATTATTTACATACGGCACAATCGATTAATACAATAGTTTCTTAAACTAAGTCTTCCTCTATAATTCAAGATGTCGTAGTGGGCTTTTGCCGATCTGCTTAGAGTGAGATAAGTCATGCCGTTCGATAGATTCTGCTGCGGTCATGGTATCCGGAGATAGTTATGTATTGAGGCACTATCATCATTAACAACACATCCAGGACGTTACAGGTACAAGTGAAATTACAAAATGGATGAATTAACCGTCACGAGCTCACACTAAGATACAGTCAGAGGCGACAGTTACAATGATTATTTCAGTCGTGATTAATTAATTCTATCCATGCAATAATTCCATCAAGTCATTACCATCGTGGTATTATTTATTCTGTTAGAGGTTAGAAAATGATCGCTCGCAATTGTTCATTCGGGGTGACTGACTATTTCTCGGTCTTGGTGAACTTCTTCTCGACCTCATCGTCGGTGATACCCTTGGGGTTTGATGAGAGGTTCTACATGGATAGGTTAGTATCATGACAACCACGTCTCGAAATATTGACGACATCTTACCTCAAGCTGAGCCTTGGGGTCCTTGTTATCGGTCTCGTTGATACCCTTTCCAGAGGCAGGAGGATCCTGCTGCTGGCGACCGCTCTGTTGCTCGGGAGCAGGAGATTGACGTCCCTCAGGCATGATGATCGTTGTGTGTTTGTTTTGGTGGTGAAAGGGTGTGAAGTTTGTGGTTGAATTGTCTCAGATGATTATAGAAGAGAAAGAGAAAGAATCAGATGTTTACTAGATATAAGAAATCACGGACACAGAATGATTGCAAGTTGACGTCGAAGGTGGAATAGTATGCCGTCATAGGTCGATTACATCATGGGCGAGATCGAGATGAGGAATTGTTTACGGAGTCTTTACAAAGATTAGTGACCCCTCATCAATCAGAACCTCGATTGGTCCGCATCCAGTAATCTCTGGGTGTTTCTGATAGACGGCCCTTTTTCAGAAACGTTGAGATGTAGATGATTTTCTTGGTGGTTAGGTTGAATGAAGCTATCTGTGAGCTTAGAGCTTGAAGCTCACTGAACCCCACTTTCAAGGATTGAATTAGGAGGTTTTATCATGCGTACTTTGAGTATTAGATAATGTTGACAAATATTGATAATAATACATCAGTTGGTTTATGATAATCTCTTTTTCCACGTTGGGATGATTTAAATTAGTTTTTTTGTCCTCATTGTTGTGGTTCCATGATGTTGGTGTTTCTTAAACAGCTTCATCATGACATTCCAATATCATGTAACCATAAACCTTCATCAGCCATGGCTTGATAAGAGGGGATAACAATATGGCCCAGTTAATCACGACTAAGGCTAGATTACTTTTTGCAAACATCAGTACTATATATCTTTATCACTGCCATCAGGCACAAAAGGCAACATTAAGCTCATTCAGTGCTGGTAATGAGGTTACCCTATAGATACATGGCGGTGTCATAATCAATGGCTTCATGAACCCCACTAGTCGGAAGCTTGGACGGTCCTGGCGTGTTTAGTAGCTGCCCGGGAGCTTTCGAACATCTCCCGAACACACCTTAACCCAAATTGAAACATTCTTTTCTCGTTTCTATCAAGACCCTGAGATTTAATCTCCGGCTCATACATCATCAAACAAAAACCACACTTAGGAAACCAAAAGAACATCCTGATGACCGGCATGCCGGACCTCAACTCAGTCCCACCTTCACCACTTCCTCTCGCGGCATCTCGCCGCCAGTCTGCAACAATGGCTACACCTCCAGGTCCCGTCTCGCCATCTCTAAACATCCTTCCCTCAAACCAGAGTACTGTCAACCATTCTCGTTCGCCTTCTTTTTCATCGCCTGTCTTGACCGCTTCACAACCGCCATCCCAGGAGCTTGGCGTTGGAACTGGACCTGGACCGATAAGACATCCTCGTCCGTTGACCGCTGCCGAACTTCACCTCGAGCTTGAAAAGGAACAGGAAGCTGTTGTGAGTACATCAACTTGACGATTTATTCTAGTACCACTCTAACATATACTAGGTAAATCGCTTATCTCGCGAGCTATCACTTCTTCGAGCTGCCCAGAACGCCTCGGTCGTGTCCAACACTTCATCCACCTCCGCTGCAAACTCATCCCATGATGTAGCCGAACAGTCTCTCCTCTCAGGCGCAGGCTTTTCCATCCCCACCGCTCGACACCACCGAACGTCATCGACCACGTCTCAGGGCATTGCCAGCCAGCAGCTGTCATCGTCCTACGAAGCACGGATCCACGCTCCTCGCCCCTCGCATGCTACCCCTCTCTCGCGGCAGGATAGTACCGCCTCCCGAAGGAGCCTAACAAATTCTCCCGGGCCGCAACACAGCAGCAGCCTCGACCCGTCCAATTACTTTCAACAACAGCGACTCCCGCCTACGTCGATCCCACCGAGTTCCGTTGGTGCAACACCCGGAAGTCTCAGCGAGCAACTGAGTCCCGGACTTATGCCAGCTACCATGCGATACGAGGAGACAGCATTTTACAGAAACGAGCTCGAGACTGCCAAGAAGGAGAATGATGTTTTGAAGCGAAAGATCAGGGAGTTGGAGAGGCAGGTTCGCCAGCGAAGAGCTAGCGATACAAGTCGGCCAAGGAGTGATAGTGTCAGTACCACTACGAGCGTTAGCGTGACCCCTGCTGGAGGAGCAAGCATAGCAGGACCACGAGAGGGACTACTCATTCGACCCGGTGGCGATCGGGAGCGAGGCATGACGGCACAGAGTATCGCCAGTGTAGCTAGTGTTGGCGTTGGCGTGCCTGAGGAAGAAGTCAAGGTTGGTGAGAGTGCTGCTAGCGCTGGCGTCGCACATAATACGCAATAGTTTGGCGGATTGTCCTCGAAGCAACGGGTTTGATTGACACAGTGAGGACGGAGAACAGCGATACAATCACGATTTACTTTTGGCGTTGGATGAGGGTTAGACTTGTCATGATAGTTTTTATTTGCTAGTGGAATCAAAGCGTTCTTCTTTATTATACATTGTAATGGAACTCAACCAGATCGCCATGGTAGCTTGGAGTCGCTTGTTTTTTGCATCCTCAAGCTCAAATTTCAGGCATCCCTCCCTAAATATGGAGTTGTGAACAAAGGCTCTGATTGCCGTTATTGCTTTGGGTTGCTTGTTCCTGCACCCTGAAGCCCAGATATCGACCTTCCTGGCACCTCTCCACGACGGGTCGCATGGACAGCGATAGTGATTTAGTGTCATAGACGTTAAACAGTGATTCACTGGCGTAGACACCTAATCGCCGCATTCCTTGCATGCAACACGCATCCACCCGTCGTTTTGTTCTGGCCACCTCGCCGGCAATATCCTCTGACTCACTGTCCCCCAAGGGCTAGGGTGAGTCGGACGAATGCCAATTTGATGGTCCTGAGACGGGGCAACTTGATGTTGAAGACCTTCTCTAGCTGCAGGCCGGGAAACTGGAGAAGACTCGCAATACCTTGGCCTTTCTAGCAGATGGAGAGTTCCTCAAGGTTGACCACTTTCTCAATAAAACCAACCAATAGGCTACCAACTGATTGCTCATAAGATTGCCGAAGGCCGTAGGTTTGGCAGGGCATCAACACACATAAAGAAGTCGTACCGAACTGCTTGGGAGTATCCTTTGATGTAGTCATCTGTGTTACCGTCCACCTTGCATGACGGGAGAGTCTTGAAAATGAAGAAAACTATCTCTTGAACATGCGGTGCGATGCGCGGGGAGGATGCAGCCGCCTTGAGCTTTTTGATGTGCCTTTGAGCGAATGTGATGTGAATCTTGCGGAATAAGAGCGGAAGAATTATCGCATCGAGATGAGGCCAACACAACCGCAGACTCACTAGAGATTTGCGAGGAAGGCGGTCAATAATAATGTTGTTGACCAGTTCAGCCGGGAGGTCTTCAAATTTGGCCATCTCGGGCTTGGGAAGCATGGATCTACCTACTATGGTGTTAGCAACTTTTAGTATATATTTGCGCCGAATCGAAGTCGGAAGCCTAAGCCTTAGAGTAGAAAAATAAACAGCCTAAAAGTCCGGTCTAAGGAGCATAAACTCACCTCCTAATGGATTTCGTTTGGTGTGTTTCTAGCGGTCGATTTTGATAATAGCTGAGGCCTGTGACCCAAGCAATTTTCTGATGTTCTGATGTTTCGAGGTAGGTATTTGGTGGTTGTCTGTCCATGAGGATGTAAGGAAAAGATGAGAAATTGTCCTTCTATTTTCAGTTTCATCTGTAGCTACAAGTATACCGAAGAAATGATCCATTGGAAAATAAAACTGAAGGCAGTGGCTGGCAGTGACTGATAGTGCCCGGTGGTAGGTAACCAAGGAGTTTCCAATACCGACCACAATAAGCACTCTGCGCAATCTATCTCTGCCGTTTAATAGAATTACACTCTTGCCGAAGGTTATATAGATGTTTTGGATATAATTACTCAAGACTATATAAATTGAGGCATCTTTGTTTTCACAACTCCATGGTTAGGTGCCTGAAAGGTCGATATCTGGGCTTCGGGGTGCAAAAAGCAAGCAACCCGAAGCAATAACGGCGATCAGAGCCTTTGTATGTCAGGTGGCCAGAAGACAACGAGGTGCACTTTATATGAAAGGAGTGCGGTGACTAGCAATGATAATGGAATGAGGGTATGTCAGGTATCAGATGAATTGGCATTGAGATCATAACAGACGAAATCATTAGGTCACTTTATACTCTTTAGGGGCAGCTGTCCATTTGGTGTGCGGCTTTATTCGTGTTGTTGATGGTTGTCCACGCCTCGGTCACGTCTGCGATAGTTTGCGAATGGTGGCCGACGATGGCTCGTCGCTTGTGGATAGCTTTTGGTTTGCTGGTTTCTGGTGCCAGGTCTGGATTTCTTCCTGTAGCTACTACCAAGTGATGATGTGTACATGCTCAGACTTCTTAGTTTACAACTACTGAAAGTAATGTTCTCGATGATGAAGATTACATGCACGTGAACAAGAGTCCCATGGTCTTGCGCAATCCATTCCTGTACTCCAAACTTTTGGGGCTTTTTTATGTCTAAATATTTATGATAAGACTACTCTAAAGCTGCATAAACTATGAGGTACCTTTATTCTTAAGTCCCTAAAACCATAAAATCTTCATGCCAGAGATTCAGGAAGGAGATCGTGGTTGACTAGCTCTGACAGAAGATCTTCGGATCTCGCCATGACGCCCTTGGGAAGCACGGTCGTAGATGGCAAGGAGAAGACACAGAAATTACTCTTCAACCTCCTCGCCATAGAGACCCATTTCGAGAAGTAAACGGCTCGGGGAAGGAATGACTTGCAGATTCAAACGGAGAGCGGCTTTTTGCAACGGTAAACAAATGGCCATTTGCCAAGATTCAAACCGGAAAATGACAGAGATCGGCATGCTGAAAACAACGTTGTTCCTGTTGAACAAGATTGCATGCACGTGGGATGCCTGCGTCCCCGGATCTGCAGCAGAGCCGTTTCGAGAACAAGCTCTTGGAAAAGATTGATGTTGACAGACAACAGATTGCACAGGAGCAAACTGAAAGTAGACTAAACATCAATAATAGCAAGACAATACTCTGAAGGCGAAATGATCTGTGCCTTATAGAAATCATACGAAATATAGAGAGAATACATAGGTGTATCTTCAAAAACGGCCAAGAGGCAAGAAAGTGTTGTCTGCTGGTCATCCTGATCTAGACCCCTACATCTCCCGTATGTAGGTAGGAAAGCTGCAGTTGCCGTTTCCTCTCACCGTAGGTCATTAGCCAGTTGAGAGGGCTGTAGAGCCGGGTCGATTTTCAGAAGAATGACAACATGTTAGTTCTTGGAAAGGATCAATGCCGAAAGATAGCAGATTGTCATAGTAACAGCCTGATTGCACATCTGATGTAAACAGCAAATCGAAGATACAATGATCTATCCCTTCTCCAGAGACTACATAGATTATAGAAGCGATGTAGAGTTATACTGGATAAACCACAAAGAGGCAAGAAAACGCAATCTTGTCATGTGAGGCAGAGAAGATTCCAGAGCAAAGAAACATTTTGCGGGAGTGTGGACGGAAGGTAACATGAAATTGACGGATTGCGACCGAGATCAGCAAAAAGGAAACGGCGGGATGGGAATTTACTCGATACGTATCCGTATTCAACGGGAAAACCGTTTTCAACGGCTGGACACATTTGAGGCATCACGACACGACTACTCCAAGACTGCAGATTGTGACAACCGTCATTTATAAATTCTCAAGACTTTACGACTTTAGTTCACTTCTTACCAAATGATTTGGCAATCTTTATGATTGACATTTGATATCTGTATTTTTGTACTTGGTATGCTAGGTAGTTAAATATGTATCCAGTACTCAAGTTAGTGGGTAGCAGAAAGAATAGCCTCCAGAGCCTTATAGTATAAAAATAAGTAGTCTAATAACCATAGTCTAAGGAACATAAAGTAAGATAATAATTTCATCCCTTATGCTTTCAGCGGTCAATTCTTCTGATACCCTGAGGTCAAGTTCCGTATCCTAAACCTGGCATAGGCTATCCATTCCAGAAGATATACCAAGCGCATGCGATGTTCCGACGGCAACTCCAATACGAGCTTTCCAAAAAGAAAACAAGAGCACGGACTTAGTCTTGAAACCTGAATTCCTGCAAATCGCCAGCCCTGGCGCTCCATCCACATGGCCAAGCCGATCATGTTAATGACTTTTGGTTAAGCTTGAAATAGAAGTGCCAATGAAAGCAACGATACCGCTGCACATTCTGACATTCAAGAAGTGGTTGGTACGTCCTACGATATCCTCGAGTTTAGATCTCGCGCCAATCCTGGCGTTCCATCCACATGGCCAGGCCAATCATGTTGACAATCTTCCAACTCGCCAAGGAAAAGCTAAGCACCTAGGTAAGATTTACTACTTCGGTCGGAGCCGTCTGAATGGCTTTCTGCGGCGTGTTGGTTCTCAGTGTTGTTGTGACCGGCAGTGTAAGGGCTCCCTGTGAGAAGATCCACAGGCTGAGTTTCAGCCTCGGCCTCCGCTTTAGGACAAGCCTACAGTGTCCCAAGATACCACCTTCATCTATCGAGAATGTTATCCTCGTTATAGTTGATAAAAGTTATTTTTTGATAGCGTCGTGACCTGTCGTCGGGCATCATCTTCCGTACGATCCCCGTCCCGAGTCTCCACAAGCTTTGTCCACAGATCATGGCCATGAGACCGAAACTCTGAAAGTGATGGCAGTACCGCGGAACACAAACTTATTATCGAGATAGAAGTAAAAGTGCCAATGGCAAGTCTTTTCGCCGGGCACCTGGTAAACCTGTAAGGCGAAAGTAACGAGACCGTGACACATGGGCACCAAGGGTCCTGGAGGGGAAAGAAGAAGGTTGCCAAAGGTTGAAAGAAAGGATGCTTCTCAATGACGAAGTGGACGGTTAAATCACTATCTCAACAGTCTTGGCGCTCTATCTACAGATCCAGGCCGACTATATGAACAACTTCTTTATGGATATTGCGGAACATAAACTCTTGGTCAAGTTGTCTCACCAGGTACCTGGTAGACTTGTAGAGCAAAAGCAATGAGACCACTACGCTACGCATAGCCAGTCACGACCTCTTCGAGCCCATCTTCGAGACATTTTCTGGACAGGCGTACTCAAAAGTGTCAACAGCGAATTGCAGATTTTCCAGAGACATCGTATTGGCTCTTTGTCCGGGGCTACATGTCCGTAGACTAGCACAGGCTGTTGGAAAACTCTTTCTTGATCCTGTCCTTGTTCAGATTTGCCTTTGCCTCCACAAGGATCTTTACATATGTAGAAATATCGCCCTAGGCAACTGGTATTTCACCTCAAAGTCTGATTCAAAGAAACCATACGAACTATTGGGTGCCCTTCTGTAACCTAAAAACACTCAGCACAACTTGAAACAATCACGACCAGACTGGAATGGGCAGTGCTGCAGTTGGTGAGATACTTTGAATCGTCCTCTCCTCAATTCCGGACTAATCGAAGCCCGCCAAACGAGATGGCAATCTAAATATCGAAGATATCAAATGTGGCGAAGAAACCGAAGGACGTACTAAGAATTCCCGAAGGAAAAGTGAGAATCGCACTGAGACGGGACGGCAACAAGTGTGTAATAACGGAGACAGCCAACCCTGAGGGAGCGCATGTGTAAGGTATTCCTACATCTGTCGAGCAACAGTCATTATTGTCGGTCGGCGCCGATATACCCGTCACTTACTGGTATAAGGATACTCTCGTCTATGTTGGTAGCGCATCATCGATGATCTATTCGAATTCTCTGGTCTACGAGTCAAAAAGGATGTATGACCATCACACCATTATGCAGAAAGGTCAAGAGAATATTAGAGAACTCAGAAGGCAAGGTGACGGACAGTTGCTGCTCAAAGGTTGACACCACCCGTCGTGTTTCCTTCAAAACGACTACACATGGTCGATCCTCCAATTCCCAACGGGGTCTTTTACAATGAAGACATAAGGGACAAGCATGACCTCCGAAGACGTTGATGAGTTCTTGTACCCTATCGTTAAGGTCGCCAGCCCGGTGAAAAACCAGCACCAACTCTTCAATCGCTACAGCATGTCTTTAGACCACAATACTGCATTCCTCTGGCATGACACCATCAATTCTATTGGGTTTATTCTCCAAATTCTAGACCAAGGATATGTAACTGATTTCCAGACTCGAAAGACACATGACGGATCAGGGTGCATCGTGGCTCACCACAAATTTGGATGACCCCCAGAGCGGACATGTATTTTACGTACATCATGCAACTGAAGACAAGTTGCAGTTCTTTCAGGACATGACGCGTTTCCAGTACAAGTATGCCGCCTTCAGTCTACCAAATCTGATATCTTGGACATCACACAGCCGTCAAAATGCGGCTGGCGGCAACATATCAGACAGCTTTATCGCTTGCGTTGAAGCTAAGCATCATCTGTGAAAACCCCTGACAGCAACCCTGTCGTTTCCGACGACGCTCTTGCACAGATGGCTTACGAGGCCATCTTGGTAAGGGCCAACCTCGGTAGACGACAAACATTTGGAGATAAGACATGATCTATTTGGACAAGTATACTTCAACTGCCAACTCCACGTCTTCGAAAAGTCGATCGCTAGATTCGTTTCTCGCCAGCAGATCCTAAACGAAGCCACGAAGACCGTGAAGTATCATTCCTGCAGGCAGATATGCTCGACTCACCGGCAGTCTCGGTTGCTTCAATCAACGATGCAGCTGATGACTTCACCTACTTATCATGGCGCTGCATGAGAATATTTTACGAGAATTGCAGCGAGAAAGTCCGTTTGTTGGCGAAGAGCTTCGCCTCAAAATGCCATATCGAGGCCGGTGCTGGCCCCACCTCACAACCCTCTTCCTCCATTCGTTCTTTCGACATTGACCTCACAGGTATTACATCTCCTGCTACAGTTGATGTTCATCATTCTAATGAACTGAAATGCATGATGACGCAGAGTGACAGATACAACGCACTACAACGAGCAAAGGGGATCATACATCGAGGCGACCTTTAACGAAATCTCTTCTCTCCGACACGTCTGCGTTATCTGCAGGGCTCAAGGAAGCAACACTTATCATGGGAAGTACAGCGACTACCACGGTGTCGATTTCATCATGCTTTTATAACTGGGGAAGATGGTCTATGAAAACAGAGTGCAAGAACTTTAGGGCACCTGAGCATAAGCTCTATACAGAATGCAACAAGGCTTCCCTTTGCCATAACCACCCACAATACCAGAAACTCCCGCGTGGGATTGGTCCTCAGCCTGGCTGTTGGAGCTCTACCGATCTGTACAGATACATCCAAGTCTGCGAGCGATAGAGACAATCCGGATTAGGTACATCCCATCTGGAGAGGTTGAAAGCCGACATCGTTTCTCCATCGCATTGTTGAAGGTGGCACTGAACACTCCACACTTTCCATGAACATGCGAGCTCATGACAATGTTGCAAAGCCTGGGAATCATCTGTTGTACAATGACATCATGAGAATGATGGTGAGCGTAATGAGAGCGAAGCATTGGATCCCATCATTGCATGGTTCACGCAAAATATGAGCACTTGGTCCATAGAGTTGCATCTCTTGGCGGGGGTAGTCACTTCTATCGACCTCAGGGTTATTGGCTGTGCCTCGCTGTGCAGCAGCCCAGGAAGATCCTCGTCCGCGGGATGAGTTCAAGCGAGAATACCTTCATTTGGTAGGTTTCACACTGGATTCAAGACAATATTGCCGTGATAGGATTGAGACTAACAATTACAGGGCCCCCGTCAGTTAGAACATCACTGGGGATCGTGGAGCGATTCCTCAATGGAGGATTTACATGGGATTCGTGGTCTGGTGTTGACTGCCTCGCAGGCCAAGAGCCAGGGTAGCATCAACCCTCTTTCTATCTACTGGTATAGACAATACAAACAGCTTGGCTATGAAGGACTTTGTCTGCGATTTTAGCTGCGAAAGCATGATTCCCAAGAGCATCTACCTCGGTTCCATATGTTTGTTCGATTCCTTGCCATTCTCTAAGTTGGGAAACTGCCTGTGACGTGTACATCCCTCGCATTTGTTCAAGTAAATATAACACCTAGATTTGAGCCCCTCTCCAGCTCGGTCTGTCTTGACTGAGAGTGCTTTAACCATCCAATAACGCCACGTATGGCGACCTTCGTCGGAGTCCCGATGACAAACTCCCAATGAGCTTCCTGGAATAAAGAGATTGAATCCCATTAGATTTTTCATGTCCACCATGATATCATTTCTTATTAGCCACGTACTCATGGCAGACGAGTGTTTGGTGGAATATCAGCCACGGCAAGTGGCAGAGACACGGGTTAGATCAGCATCATGAAAGTGTGATAAACAAAAATTAAAAAAGTATCCCACCGAATGCGACCTAAAGAAACAAGGAATATAGATATTTGTAGTGACATGCCTTGGCAGGGGAAATGGATAATTGAGTAGATAAGTGGTATTCGGCAATCGATGATTTACTGATGAATGCGCACTGTACCAGGGAATATACACAGCCTCATTAAGCAACGCTATTTAAACCACAACTCGTTCATTTGCGCATTCAACTACACATATCATTCCGTCTTTTTCTTCTCATACTTCTTTTAAATAAAGGAAAAGCGCGATTTTTGAACGAACAACTCATTTCTTTAAAGAGGGGTTGAGGGGAAACGTGATAGACCCATATCGTGGACATTACGCGGCCTTCAACGCAGATTTTGAACCACTTACACGAGAACTCATCATCAGAAAAACAAAAGCTTTATAACAAAATAATAAGCAATTATGGATATCATTCGGTCTAATACTATGCTTATCTTAGGCAACTAATTTTAAAAAATTTAAACTCCTTCCTTTTTCTTTTGTTTCTAGTGGCGTAAGAGGCCGACTCATCTAATTAGTCGTCTTTTGCTGAGGCCGCGCAATGCTGCGTCGCAAGCAACTATTTTCTCCTCACTATCAAAAACTTGAACCCCTCGCTACTAACAGAGCATTCCATTAAATTATCACATTTTTTTTTCTTACTCTATGGGAAATGGAAATGGAAATACCCGTCATTGAGGCAGAGGAGAGCCTTATAAAAATGACAATGCCCCCACCACTTCCTCCAGTGTTATCCACAGCACACCAACACGATGTAGACACTTCTTCGACGTCCCTTCTCACCATTATAAAACCTCCTGTTCCAGGCCGACGTCCGAGAACTTCTCAGTCAACAAATAATGCAGAAGTTTTGGTGCCGCCTCTGATCGCGGGCGCACTTGTTGCTGCTTTTGCGGCTGCCCTTGCCGAAGGATTAGACAACCAGCTTCTCACTCACTACTACCTCCCCGAACAAAAATTCCGAGTCAACATCGATAGAGTTCTTGATCGGTTGTTATCAGAGTTTACTCATATGCTGTGGGATGAGCTATGGGCTTTTTACTGCGACTCGAATCCGCATTCCACGGACCAGATTAAGAAGCTCTTCGACGGACCTGTTTGTCAACTTATACTTATCCTCAATGGACCCGAGGCGCCACGATGTATTCTCGATAAAATAGGCCCGGGTATTTCAAGGCGGCCGTCGACTTGGTCAGAGACGGCGCGAGGTATTGATCTTCCTATTGCGCTTCAGCTATTGTGCAGTTACTGGGATAGAGAATACCCGGCTCGCTCACCCAGGGGGTCACCCAACGAGATTGCCTCTTCGCTACATACCTATATCACGACAGGAAACTCTGCCAAACATCTCATCGCCAAGATCCGAGAGACACTCATCTCACCGCATCATGTACAGATGCACATGATGGAATCGGCTCTTTGGCATATTCTCATCAAGCCTCCTTATCGACAGCCAGTGGACGGCTTCCATGTTGTGCAGTTCAAGTTTGAATGCCAGCTACCCGGGATCCTTCAGGATATCGGGGATCCTCAGTTATTCAACCTTGGTTCTTTGACGGCTATCACTGGAACGGCCAATGATTGTGTTTACACCACCGTATCTGAATATGCAACCAAGCAGTGGCCTAAGTGTGGTGAACTCCTCCTCGGATGCATCCAAGATGCCGTCCAGGGAGCTTTGATATCTACTTGCAACGGCGATTCCTTCAACGGCATGTCTATCTGGGATGGCACCGATAACCCCCTCTTATGCCCCGGTCTGCGTCTACTACACATCGAAGTCGAAGAAGGCTATGTTCGACTCACCGTCTCAGCATGGACGCATACCATGATTGAGATCTTACAACAAATGGCATGGACATGTTCTGTCCTCAGTGCCTCACCCCTTCCTGGTTCTCTTTCAGAGTCTGCGGTTCAGGTAGCAGATTGGCAGTACATGGAGGAGTCAATCTTTGTCGAATGCAGTCTTTCGCATCGACCTGTACCAGAAGGCGATGGGGCGCCTTGGTTGAGACAATTGGGAGGGGTTGCAATCGCAAATGGATTTCCTATAAGTAATGTTCGGCAAGATTCGCAGATGTCATAGTTGGGAGATGTGGAGAGATGAGACTACGTTTAGCGTATTGTCAGATGATACCCATTTAACAGTTTATATTGAGAAGTATTGAATGATGACATGTTATCAAAATCTGTCCGCGCGTCTGTTCCTTGAGACGATCTCATAAACCTAGCCTGTTTTGGCTGGGGCTTGCTTGTCGCACATTTGCAGTAGCTCATAAAATCCAGACTCGGTCTTGAAGCCAAAAGTAGTTCTTTGAAAATTTTGTGAAGTATGAAAATGTGATTGATAGGTGTGGTGTTGCATGTTTCTTTCATGAGAGCTCCGGGGCAAAATGTTGATTTATTTGTTGTTGACGTTGAATGACCTCCCTCCTCCCGCTGTCCAACTGATAATGCTCCTCAAAATCCGTACACTTTCCCCCAAGTTTCCCAAACTAGAACCAGGGATTAGTTAAATACTTCATTATGGTCTCATAGCAGTCAAGATTCCATACCTTGTCCTCCATCGTGAATTAATTATGTATAAAATCTTCCCTATCCCATCTTGTCGCTCTAGGGTATCCTCCGCGCCTTGGCCATCGATTGGCACTTGTACAATCGTATACGACATTGGCGTGTTTATTCATCCATCCATCCATCCATCCATCCATCCATCCATCCATCACGTGTGCATCGGAAATGGTGTTAAATTTGCATGTGGAAAGGATCTTGCTTAGGCTTCACTTCTTGTAACGGACGGTACGGGTTATCGGAACGACGATGGCGAAAAAGATTTACGGGCGACACGCGTTGTGTAACTGTTCGCTGCTGTACGGGACGAAACGAGATGAAGTCTGGCTGAAGACTAACAAACTAAACGCGGGCTATGCTAATTGGAAAGTTTTCGGATAAAGGCGAATTGATTGATTGAATCGACGTCACAGTGGAAGCGAGCAGAGGTGGAGGGTTTTGGTATGGTTTGGTTGGCACAACTAGACGGTATGTCAGTCTTTACATCCCAAAACCCAATACCTACTGTATCTTGATTGAATCAATCCTGGTTCCATGTGTTGAAGATGAACTAAATTAACGCTGGTGGATGCAATTCCTGAATATTGTCGCAGAGAAGGTGGCGGGTGAAGTCGGCGTCGATATGATCTGAGCTTAATTGCTTATCGCAGGTCCAAAGATTGTCATGAGATGCGTATCACGTGGGGTCTGTTCCTGGAAATGAAGTCATTCTCATGCGTCGCGCGTGTCATTACTTCGTATCGCTTTAAAGTGAGTTTCGCTTGTCTTGGAGAAAGAAAAGAAGGTCAGAAAGGCCATGGCGAGAGGTAAGTCAAAAGGATATTGTCGTGATCAATCGTGGTCTGGTTCTACTGTTGAATTAAGTCTTTGTTCGGCGTTCGCCTGTTGATGGTCGAGAGGTGGCATGCTCTTTCGAATGAGCTGACTCTGCAGTGCGTACGTGCGTGCGTTCTAGCTAGAGACGCCCTGTCCTGGGCCCGTAGGGGAAGTAGGAAGGAAGCCCGAAAAACCAGGGATCAACGGGATCCACTCGATGTCGCCTGTTGCCGACCCCACTATCGGATGTTGACGATGGTATAAGACGTGAACAAAAAGTGAAGTTATCACAAATGATACAAGAAGGAAATAAATGAACAAAAAGAGAGTAGAAAGAAAAGGATATGAAGACGACACTCAGTAATTAGGTCTCACCAAATTCATGGTTGTATGTACCAAGCCAAGAGTAGGAGGGGGCACTCGAGATGCAATGCCCTCTTTATGTGGGAGTGACCCTCCTTGTTTCCGACAGCGTCATGGTCCATCTTGTGAGAGAGTCATGTATTCACACGCCATCACGGTAGCCTTATCCTGGTCGTGAGGCATGACGCTGGTACGATGCAAGCCAAAGGATAAACACATCACAGTATGTAGTCCTACTGTACTCACCATCTCAAGAGGGGACACCCATTCCTGTCATCCTGAAAACATCATGGCTAATTGACGCCATCCAATGATACTCTTAATTGATTGATCGATCAAACTGGGCTGGGTGCAGAGCCATGACTAGCCAATCGACCTAGCACTTCCCCTCAGTTAACTACCACAAGGTTTCACGCGGGCGCTCTTTAAGGAGGGAGAAAAGGAGGTTATGATTGATTGCAGTTGATGGTTTATTTTAAAAGTCCCTCTTTAGTTGCAACCCTAGCATGTATCTCCTATCAATTGTCAGGTGAGTTACGCCAACAAGCGCCAAAGCACGCATCCGCGAGCCGAAGCCTCCGGGGGACACGGACATGGGATAGAGGGAGGACGGAGGAGGGGAAGATACAAACTGGCGATCCCTCGTCATCGGTCATGGCTGGATCAATGTGCCAATCTTGGTTTCGTTTGTACTGATCGACCACACTCATACCCCTCTTCACTGAGGATATCGTGTCTTTGACTTTTTGTTGGCTCTTGCAGTGTCAAGACTCAATGCCTGATCTGATGACTTGTTACGGCCTTCGGCGACTGGCAATTGCTTATGATTGAATCACCTCACTCGATTGCCGGGGCCCATAAACGAATCGAGAGTGGATCAAATCGACAAGCCTTCCCCAGATTCTGTCTTGTTGCTTTAACCTTGTAAGGATAACAAGCGGGTACCAGACCGGTACGTAGAGCGGGTTCCCACTTGCCTGCGTCCTGGTTGCGCCAGCACTAGACCCGTTGCGTCTCCGGGTGTGGTCTGCTGAGCTTGGAGCCAGGGGCGTCACGCCTTCCGTCAGGCCAAAGTCACGCGATTATCAACGACGACCTCAACATCGACGAGTGGTGCAATAATACACTATGATTCTACTGTATCGTACTGTATTATAGTGACCCTACCTAATGCGTGTTTCTTTTGCAACATCAAACAAAAACGGAAACCGGAGCGAGGCGCAGGCGCAGGCACAGTAGCAGTCGCAGGCGCGGCAGACCTTAGTTGTACCCCCCTAGGTCGTGTCTTTCCCTTCCTTTCCGGGTGTGGTGTAGGCATGAGCAGTTAGTTACCCCGCCCAGTCTGACGACAGCTCATTGCAGTAATTCAAGGTGAAGTCAAGTCGATTGAAGCTGTACCTGTACCTGCCTCAGGTAAACCACTTCCCGTCGGGGATGGACGACGCCGGGCGGCAGGTGCGATTGCAATAAGTAACAACCACCTCCCCTCCATCTGCTCTTTCCTTCTCCTTCCCTCTCATCACGCATCAACACCTTCAAACCAAATCAACTTCACTTACAATCTTCTGCTTTCACGCAAAAGGTTCGTGATCCTTCCTTTATACAATCCCCATCATTCCTACCAATATCACTAACATTCACTCATACAGCAGAACCAGCTACAACAACCAGATCTATCCGATCAATTCACAAACCCCAATCATCATGACAGAAGAACTCTCCAAGGTCGACTCAGCCGTCCAAGGTCTCTCAAGCTCACCCCCCAAGGAAGAGAAGAAGACACGGCGACAAAGCTCAGCAGCGGCACCTGGTGTCTACAACGTCAATGACCTCGGTAAGCTTTGACATGATTCTCTCATAACTCCTTCCGATATCGGGAAACCTGGCATGAGACCTTCGCAAGACTTGTTTACTGACTTGTTACTGCAGAGGCCGAGGGCATTGAGCTCGAGCTCCCTATTGAGAGTCAAAAGACTGGATGGTAAGCCATTGGCCCTTGACGTCGTCGACCCCGCATTTCGACTATGAGATGTCCATTGAGACAGCCACTGACCCGTTCAACAGGAAAATCAACAAGAGCTCTAGCACAGTAGAAGACGCTGCTATCCTCAAGCTTCACCTCACGAAACCCCCCGTCAAGAGAATTACCCTTCACTTCCCATTAGGGGTGGAGGTGCAAGCACGAAACCTCAAGGGTGTAACAATCAAGGACGCACTTGATGCCATCCACAAGCAGTACAAGAAGCGGGTATGTTTAGAACACTTTACACTTGTACATTGACGCATACTGACATCCTCAGGCCGATGATGAGCTCGACAAGCCCTACCTCGCTGGTTTCGAGTGGGACAAGGAAGAGTCATGGACCCGACTTGTTGTTCACTTGCAGGCCCAGCCCACGGCCACAGACTCCGCCGGTGGCGGCAAGAAGAAGAAGAACAAGAAGAACGAAGAATAATTTCTCTCGGCAACTATGATATCTCTTCCAATACTTCCTATAATTCTTGTTCGTTTCGCTGGTTTCGTTGCGAGTCGGCGCTCGGGATATTGCGTCTAGATATTCTCGGTCCGGTCATATTCTGCGCGATTGCTGGGAGCATCGCCTGGTGTACTCCTCTACTCATAGTTCTTTGTATCGCTGGTCGATTCGGTCGGCGTTCTAAGGTTCCATGATGTCATGGTTCCCTTACATAATATACATTCCCAAACCAACAATCTTGTCAAGACTGTAAATATGTGTCTGTGTGTTTTGTTCTGTTGATTCCGACCCCAGCTGTTCTCCCCAGACCCACCATGACCTCTCTTACCCCGCGATAATGATGTTAGCTTAGATAAACTTGTACCTGAACCCTTGAACTACCCGAGTTAGTAATTTGCTATTCACCAACTCAATTTAGGCAGTCGATAAGAATGCGATTTGTTATCAATCTTCTTGATCCCGATCATATGCGATAAAATGGCCTGTTACGGAACCTCAGGGTAACATTCTCACCTCTCAACATCGGCGGAATCAAAGCGCGATGATTCCCGGCTAACGTCGGGCCGTCAACATGATTGACATGCGGAATCGGAATTGCCCTCCCAACGCCGGCTTACACGGCTACTGAGCGTCATACGTCGTTCAAACAAGGGGACTTTGCTTAAGCCGTCGAAACACAGTTATAATAATCCTATTCCCACTCACAAACTTGATCAGTTGAGAACTTAAACTCAAACAGTCAGTCATCATGCCTATCACAACCTTTGATCTCAAGGAGAAGTACCGTTATCAGAATGGTTTCAACTGCCATTTAGAGTGAGTATCACATGCCAACACTCTCATTTGTGAACCTCAACTGACATGCTTTCAGATCTGAAGCTGTTGAAGGCGCTTTGCCCATCGGCCATAACTCCCCCCAGAAGCCTCCATACGGCCTCTACGCAGAAAAGCTCTCCGGAACAGCCTTTACAGCCCCACGACATGAAAACAAACAAACATGGCTCTACAGAGCCCTTCCCTCCTGCGCGCATCCTCCCTACCAAGCTGACACACAAGCTGCAAGCGAGAAGAACAAGACCCTCGACGGCGCAGAGGATGGGAAACTTCACTACATCCCCAACCAGCTCCGATGGGATCCCTTTGATCATAATGAAGCCAAGGATCAGGACTTTGTCACTGGCTTGAGACTTGTTGCTGGCGCGGGAGATCCTACGCTAAAAGAGGGCTTGGGTATGTATATCTACGCCGCGGGAAAGAGCATGGATGAGAAATCAGCTTTTTACTCTGCCGACGGTGATCTTCTCATCGTCGCTCAAGAAGGCGCTCTTGATATCCGCACGGAATTCGGATGGTTGCTCGTTCGACCCATGGAGATCGCCGTTATTCCTCGAGGCGTAAAGTACCAGGTCCATCTTCCCTCTGGCCCAGCTCGGGGCTACGCTCTTGAGCTATACCAAGGCCACTTCAACCTCCCAGAACTTGGCCCTATTGGTTCCAACGGTCTAGCCAACGCTCGAGACTTCCAGTCCCCTGTTGCATGCTTTAGCGAGGATTTTGGAGCGACAGCTATGGAGGGATCAAGCAAGTATACCGTGTCCGTCAAGTTCAACAACAATCTCTTCAAGACGGTGCAGGCCCATACACCTTTTGACGTTGTAGCTTGGCACGGAAACTATTACCCTTACAAGTACGACCTCGGCCGCTTCAACACAATCGGCAGTATCTCTTTCGACCACCCAGACCCCTCCATCTTCACCGTCCTCTCAGCGCCGACAAACACCCCCGGCACAGCAGTCGCAGACTTTGTTATCTTCCCTCCGCGCTGGCTCGTCGGAGAAGATACATTCCGTCCACCATGGTACCACCGCAACACGATGAGTGAGTTCATGGGCTTAATCCAAGGCGGCTATGATGCGAAGAAGGGCGGTGCAGGAGGTTTCGTGCCTGGTGGTGCTAGTCTGCATAATGTCATGAGTGGCCACGGACCTGATGCTGAGAGCTACGAGGGTGCGCGTAATGCAGAACTCAAGCCTGTAAAGGTTGGAGCGGGAAGTTGTGCGTTCATGTTTGAGAGTTGTTTGATGGTTGGTGTTACGCAATGGGGATTGAGGACGTGTCAGAAGGTACAAGAGGGATATAATGAGGAGAGTTGGGGTGGTGTTAAGAACCACTGGAAGATGCCCGAGGGGTTGAAAGTGAAGTCACATCTCCTATGAAGAAGATATAAAATTGGCGTTGATAGCTTAACGAGTTGCAAATTGGAAACTCTTGTCCATGTCTATTGACCTCCAGTCCTTAGAACAAGGTTCGAAGGCATCTCCCTATCCTTAAACTCCTCATCCATCTCATAAACCGTTTCCTCACCATCTGCTTTAAAACCCTGCTGCATATACACCAAACGTCCCATACTAGATCCCTCAGTAACACACTCAAGATTTCCTCTCCTCACAGCCTCATCCAAACCCCACTGGACCAACTTCCTCGCAAGACCTCTTCTCTGAAACTTGGGATCAACAGCGCAAATATCCATAACAAAGACGGCCGGTGGCGAAGCTGTAGCTTTCTCCCTAATAATCTCCCCTCGACGCTTAAAGAGCGATTTATCCGCCTGTGCAAGGAACTTCTGCTCAGTTTTATTCCCAGGGTACAGATCCTCAAGAAAAGTGCCCTTTGTGATATCACCTGGTGCATCGCCCCAGCCTTCCACAACAGAAGCTTGATGCCAGATCGCCATTCCGGCGATGGTGCCGTTGACGGTAGCTTTAATAAAAACGGTGTTGGGTTTTCCGTCGCGGTTTTGAGAAACGGAGTTGAAACGGCTAACTAGACGTTGAACGCCAGCTTTTGCGCCTTCGGGTGTATCCCAGCTCGGGTTGAAGGCGATCCAGATTGCATCGTTAGTTTGACGGCCAAAGGCGTTGGCTTGGGCTCTGAAACAGCCTTCAAAGTCATCTGGATTCGTGATGACTTCGACGCGGATGTCTTCCTGGGTAGTCATTTTGTGATAAAGCTATGAGTAATTGATGATAGGTATAATGAGATGAGATGAGAATGAAGGAAGTATTTATATTTGCGATGGATAATTATGAGAAACTGGTTTCATCATGGTTGAGGCATTAGTTCTGGCGAGTGCATGATAGTGGACCACGATTCCACTTCATAGCCCCGTGGGGGTTAGCCTACCTCGGTATGGATCGATAGACTATGGGGTCACAAGAATCTCTACTCAATTTGAGTAAGGGAAGAAATAATTCAGATATTTTATGCCATCTTTCATCTGCGTTGAAGTTGTATATTTCCTGTAGCCAGAGCTTAAATCTCATACTTTCGGTTTGTGTATGGCCGGCTTGGGATAGCTTCAACCTCCTTTTGGGAAGCTCTTTTTTCGGCGTGAGTCATCCCGCGTCTATGGAGTGGCGTTGTAACAGTAGATTTGGGACCTTTGTATGAGTAGTTGATGCATTTGCAGAAATCATGGGATCGTTTGTGCTCTGCGAATAAAGACAGAAGGAGTGTAGCAGGAACATTGGCCACAATGCTTAGATACAAAAATAAATAACATATAACTCTAATCCAAATGATATGAAATGGCTTGCTAATTTCGTCTCTTATGCTTCCCAGTCGTAAGGCTTATATAGCCCTTCGAAATTCGCTGGCATATGTTCCATCGTTGAGTAGTCTGCCTAATAGTCAGAATCATACCCTGCACCTTCATAAACACCATGGTTTTGCTGGCCGTAGCCATTCCCTCCTTCGTTATTACCAGTCTGTTCGTCTACCTCATTATCAGAATCAACATCGACCTGATCATCAGAATCTTCATCAAAGGTAGATTGCGCCTGATGCTGATGTTGTCCGTAGTAATGATTTTGTTGCATTTCATCCTCATCTTCAGAATCAGACTGGTAAACGACCTGCTGTTGGTGATTCACATACTGGACTGGTTGTTCTTCATCGTCAGAATCTGGTTGTTGAAAAGTCTGTTGCTGGAAGTGGTTTTGCTGCTGGTTATCTTTGTGATAGTCTGGTTCTTCTTCATCATACTCTTGTTGTTGAAAGACCTGTTGCTGATACGGTTGTTGAAAGTAGCTCTGTTGCACCTCATCCTCAGAATCAGTTTCGTCAACAGCCTGGTGTTGGAAATGGCCGTATTGCTCTGGATGTGCTTCATTTTCAGAATCGGATTGATCAACCATCTGCTGCTGATAATGTGCTTGCAAGTGCTCCGGTTCGTTACCAATGTCTTCATTCGAATCGACGTCTTGTCCGGCATCTCCGTCAGAATCAGAATCATCTTGGCCTGGGTCTGTATCAAGCCCACTGTCTGACTCTGCCTGCATATCGCCAAGACCCGTCTCTTCATCTGAAGCATCCTCATCGTCGTCGTCGTCGTCGTTGTCAATATCGCTGATATCGCCCGCGTTGTCATCATCGGTAAAGTCAGTGGCGACGTCTGGACTATCAGATTCGTCTTGATCAAAGTCCAAGCTCTGAACATCATCTTCGATCTCATCCTCATCAGAATCAACCTCATCAAGATCAAGATCATCATCATCCGACAAAACTTGATCGTCAGAGTCATCTGCATCTGAAGCTTCTACACTAAAAGAGATTGAATCATTGTCTTCGCTTTCATCATCTGACTTGCCACCGTCTTCAGACTCTTCTGCTTCTGAATATTCTTCAGAGTGTTCGGACGGTTCTCCTTGTGTGTCCAGGTAATAGTTTTCCGTATAACTTGCAGGTGGAACAGGCTGGTATTGTACGTCATCCGACCTGAAACTCTCATCGTTGATGGAGTTCGACTCATAGTGATGATGTTCCTGAACATAGTTGGAAAGGAAGTATCCCCCAGCGGCACCTGCCAAGACGCCAGCACCCGCTGCTGCTGCGACTTTCCTCCCAGATGAATTTCCAGAACCGCTGTACTTTGTATCTTGGCTCTCTGTATATGTCTCAATTGACCGCTGCCCACTAGTAGACTGGGTCTGCGACGAGTACCCAGAAGGATAAGCTGATGGAGGAGCTGGCTTCTTGTGGACAGGTGAGCAGGAATTTTGAACCAAGGCAGGCTTTCCTGGTGCCGTTGCTGGACCGGATGGGGCAAGCTTTTTCTCGTTCGGAGTAGCCTGCTGAGTCGGAGCTGGCTTCTGGGCTGGAGAGGGCCTGGTAATAGAGCCAGATTGTTGGAACGAGGTGGACTTCTGAGGTGGGGAGGGTCTCTGGGTCATTGTAGGTTGCTGGAGTGTAGATGGTTTTGCAGCCGTGGGACCTGCGGCATGCTTTTGAGGAGGGGCGGGTTTCTGGGCCGGAGGAGGCTGCTGGGATGTGGTAGACTTTTGACTTGTGGGTTGTTGTTGTGTAGATGGCTTTGGGGCTGTGGTGACTGTTGAGGGCTTTTGAGACGATGCAGCTTGGCCTTGGGTAGGTCTTTGAACCGGAACAGGCTTCTGAGCCACTGTTGGCTGCTGCGATATAGATGGCTTTGCAGCTATGGAGGGCCTCTGAGAAGAAGGCTGAGTCGTGGCAGACTTCTGAATTGCTGCGGGTTGTTGTTGTGTAGATGGCTTTGGAGCAGTGGGAGTCGCGGAGGGTTTCTGAGACGATACGGCCTGGACCTGGGCAGGTTTCTGAGCCGAAGTAGGCTGCTGAATTGTAATAGGTTTTGAAGATGTGGCAGCCTGAGCAACAGGTTTCTGAGCCACAGCCAGAGCGGGCCTCGCAGATGCAATGGCACTGTGACCTAGAGCGCTATTCTGAGCTGCGATCGAGCTTTGAGATGCAACAGGCGTAATCGATTGTTTCCCTGGAGCTTCTTGAGGGGTAATAGGCAACGGTGAAACCGCACCACTTTGAGCTTGCGACTTGCCATGTGTTGTTTGCACTATTCCAACAAGAGACTGAGAAGCTTGCATTTGGTTAGGAGGTGATGACTTCCTAGGCGCCCCAGTCACTGGCTGACCCCCGACAGGCTTGCGTCCGATACTCAGCGATGTAATAGGATTGATCGATGAATTGACAGGTTTCCTTCCAGTTGCCTGAGGATGAGATGGTACCATACTGGGTGTCTGAGGGTTGATACTGAATGGTTGATAGCCCTGAACAGTTCCTTGCTGAGTCGCCTGTTTACCTGACGAGTTCTGTCCTTGAGCATACGAACTCTGTGACGGCAAGGAATATCTGTCATTAGACTGGCCTCTGGACTGTGGTGTTGCATTTGAAGGACTTCCAGGGGATACATTAGACTGGAATGGCTGGAAGGGCCGGAAAGAATCTCCTCTAGGGGGTTGCTGAGATGCACCAGAATACGACGTATATGGGTTCTTTGTAACGATAGGCGTTGTCTGGGCTGACTCTGGGGAGCTCGCCGAAAGTGCAGTATACATATCCCAACTACTTCTATGGTTAGTGGGTAGCCGTTGATGTCCAGTCGGGCTTGCAGATCCCGTGTTGAAGCTTGTATGTACTGATGTTCCAACGGTAGACTGCGGAGGTTGGAATGGCATGAAAGCGGAGTTTTGCTGCTTCTGGTGGGTTTGAGTTGGCATCGAGATCGAGTTGTTTTGTGCAGCTGCCGGTCGTTGCGGTAGAGGAGGAGAGATCACTGGGCCACTAGAGTTGAATGGAGAATATGCATTTGCGGCTGTGTGGCTCTGAGATGTTGCAGTAGATCCAGGCTTGGTATCCGGCTTGTGGTCAACCTTATAACTGACCTTAGGATCAGGGTTCTGATGAGCCTTAGAGTCAGGTCTAGGATCCGCTTTATGATCAACTTTGGGAACCGCCTTAGGATTAGGCTTGGTAGTAGGCTTGGGATTAGGTCTGACAGATTCCTTAGACCCTGCCACAGGGGTGTTTGGCTTTGGAGCAGGCATCTTTGAGTCTGTGCTGGCCTTGGAGACGTCCTCTAACTTAGCATCAACAGGCTTTCGGACCTGTTTCTTGTGAGGAATAGGTGCCGATGGCGGTGCTGCCGTCTTCTTGGACCCCGCCTTAGACTTGGTCTTCAGTTTGGCATCGCCTTTCTTCTTCCCATGCTCTGCCATGAACTTCTCTTTGCAAGCTATCCACTCAGCGTTCCAGACCACTTGCTTCTTCTTGTAGTGTTTTAAAAGTAGAGAGGCGACCAATTGCTCCTTCTCTGACAGAAGTGATACTGCTTTTCCCCTGTAAACAGCATAGAAGATAACCGTGTGGCCTTCACTGCTGAGGACATCCAAATCTGGGTCGGCATCCAGTAAAAGCTTTGCAATCTTCTCCTGATTGACTCTGACAGCGAGCATGAGAATGTTGAATCCTTGTTTGTTTCTCGCATTGACATCGGACTTGTGTCCTAGAAGCACCTTGACGAGACTGACATGAAGACCTTCAACGGCATAAACTAATGCTGTCTGGCCGTCCCTGTCCTTTGTGTCAATTGTTACCTTTCGTTTCAGAAGTTCTTGTGCGCAAGACTTGTTCCCTGACGCAGCTGTCATATGAAGAGGGGTTCTTCCAGACATATCAGGGATATCGACTCGGCAGCCGCGCTCAAGAAGAAGCTTAATGATAGCAGGGCGGTTTTCGGATATTGCAAGATGCAGGGGAGTATGGCCTTGAGCATTCTGCAGATTCATTTCCGCACCGCTGTCTAGTAGGAGCTTGAGTAGACTTGACTTGTCTGTTCCAACAGCGTGATGCAATGCAGAGGACTTAAACCTATCCAGCGCCTTGACATCAGCGCGTCTTTCTAACAGAAGCTTGACAGCAGATGATGTTCCACGGATGACCGCCAAAAGAAGAGGCGTCTGTGCAAGATGGTTTGTAGCAGACACTAAGCCTGCATCATTGTCTATAAGCGGCTTCATGACACTTTGATGACCCTGCAGGACAGCATAATGTAGAGCCGTCTGTCCATTGGCGGCGCGGGCGTCTCCCTTGGCACCTGACTTGAGGAGCTGCTTGGATGCTGCTAGATGGCCATGAAGGGCTGCATGGTGCAGTGGGGTTCTCTTTTGATTGTCTGATAAACCCAAGGCCTCGTTTCCGACCTTCTTTATGGCCACTGAAAGCAGTGACGCATGTCCATATACTGCAAATATGTGTGCCCAGAGTGTCCCTTTTAATTCGCTGACCGCGTGATTCTCTTGGTCCCATTTTACCAAGACATTCATGACACTGTCTGAGGGCCATTGCAGAAGCTTCAGTATTTTCGAAGCATCTGGCTTGACTAGACCTGCTGCTGAAATGTGGTTGGACCAGTTGGCGCCTGCATACCCGAGAAGCTCGAACGTAGGGTCCTTATCATCCCCGTTTGGCAATTTTGGTTCTTTGGTAAGAACAACCAGATAACGTAGAAGGTTCGTGGCGAGAGATTTGTGTGAAATTTGGAGCGGGGAATTCGGGCTCTCCGGTGGTTGAGATCCGTACGATAGAATAGCCAACCCCTTGGATAAGAAAAAGGATGAAATGCTGTCATGCATTACCTTTACGACCTTCTGGCCACGCAGCGTCACCGTTTCGAGCAAGCCCCATGAAGTAGCCTTGATCCAAGATTGGAAGCTCTCGTCCGAGCTGTATCGAGAGAATGGCTCTGCCTGTAATAGATACTTGAAGGATTCAAGTTTATGAATCATGTCGAGCGACAGGGCCACTCGCAGCTCAGCCAGAGTCAGTGGCCTAGTTGTCAAACATACCCAACTTAGAAGCGATGCAAGACTCTTGTTGCCCTGTTGCGCCATGTTCTGGAAGTAGCCCCCGAGCAAAAAAGAGATAGGAGCTGGAGTAGGTGATGGTTGTTGGACAAGAGAAGACTGCATCGGACCGAACAGTTTGACGTGTTGAATAATCAAACGTGCAGAGATGAATGATGAGCCAGATTTTGACAGAATGAGCTGTCTAGTGTTGGAGTCCGTGGTGGAGAGCTGTTCCTTAAGGAACTGTCTCAGACTTGGCCCATTCTTCTCGTCCACGTTGATGTATGATTGTGGGAATGGCTCTTTAGCAGGAAATATTGTGCTAGAGAAGATGATCTTGAGCCCATGTGTGACAGTAGGCTCCTTGGTAGAAGGTTTTGGTTGAGACCTTTCGAGAAGTTTTGAAAAGTCTTGGACAAACTTGGCTGCCGTTTCCCCTTCTGAGCGGTCGATGCCATCAACATACATACAAACAGATCGTGTTTTGAGTATCTTGGCGATGGTTTTGGTCAAGTCCTCAAAGAGCTCCTGGGCACTCCATGCCACTTGTTGCTTGGAGGGTAAGGCATCTTGAATCCTCTGGAACCTAGTCTTTATATCATCGAACGCCTCAGGGGCCTGTGGGATCAGCTGATGTAGGATTGATTTCAGCAATCCAAGGCGCGTTCTCGGAATCTCGCTTCCGCATATGGAGAAAGAACATGTTAGATGCATTGCGCTTGGCTCCATTTGCAGTTGAGTATGGAGAGCATGGTTCATCAAAGTCGACTTTCCACATCCCTCAGATCCTCGAAGCCAGAGCAATGTGTGCTTGGAACTCTTCCAGTTAGAAAAGAGGGGGTCTTTGTCGAGCCATGCAGATGAGTCTGTAGCTCTCGGCTCAATTTTGAAGTGCTGAATGGAAGGGAACTTGAAGCTTTGCAGGAATGCTGCCGGGTTGGGCTTGAAGCTGTGTGTTCGTGGAGGAAGTGGTGGCCCTTGCAGTAGCTATGTTAGCAACGGTAATATAATGAATCGCGATGTTAAATACCATGTTCAGCACCCTTGGGAGTGGCGGGGTCTACATTCTCTTGAGTTGTCTTTCGCTTGGGATCCTTGAGCTCGTAGGTGGGAGCAATGCTTCGAGGGGTGCTTGCCTCAGGCTGCGAGGCTATTGGCTTCCTGGTAACACCGCTTGCCTTCATAGCCGGCGCATCGACATCGACGAAATAGGGCATCTCATAAGACTGATCGCTGAAATCGACCGTCGAAGAGAATGATTTTTTGGTTGGCTGCGCAAAACTCATATTGGAAAATGATGCACGAGCTAGTGGCTGTTGCGCAGCTGGGGCTATATTGATAAGGGTGCTGCTCTTCTTCTGGAAAATTGAAATGCGCTGCAGGTCATTTAAGAGATAAATTTGTCCAAGTCATGGGTCCGTGTGGGAGCGAAGAGGGAAGGGTTATATATGATAGTAGCAGGCCTACCCATCACTCTGGGAAGAAGGAATGGAGACGGCGACTGGACCACAAGTCTGCCATCAGGTCCAGTATATCTAATACCACGCCAGGACAGGCATTGCAAAATCTGGCACCCTATTAGTTTCATAGGTAGGTAGGTACTTTGGAGTATCGTTCCATCACTATCTCGCGCAGTAGTAGTCTACAGCAACCTATGTTTCGTTGCTGGAAATTGTTGGGGGCCGGATGTATCTCGCCAAGACACGAGGATGGTAGCCTTATACAAGTTACCTCTTCCCCAGGGGATAGAACAACCTTGTTCGTTTAGTACCCATGGAAAGTACATGAGGTTACAATTAAGACTCGGGTATCTATAATATAGTCGAATGGCTCATCCTAGCCGCCATGTCTTCTTGTCGAGACTTTGCGTTTTGGGAATGCGTTTTGGGAATGCGTTTTGGCAAAGACAAGGCTCTGATTAGACATCAGCGACTACAGAGGCTTAGTTTACATGTTATTGCTACATGATCTGTCGATTTTACTTTTTTTTTATAAGGATCAAAACTTGTCCTTATGTCAAGCGCAGTACTGCATACTCACCTATTTCCCGGCTGTCTATTCGTACGGCAACACCACTTTCATTCAATGTAACTCTCCCAACTCGATTCAAGCAGGGCTGATCGATCTCGTTTGTTGTCCTTTTCCAGCTTTATCCCCTCTGTAGTATAAAAACCGTTTCAAAAAAATTCCTCAAATGTATAATGGCCCCTGGTATCCATCTACAACTGATGTACCCTCAGTGGGTCAATTGCGAGCCTGCTTTCTCATAACGGTAACCAACCTTGTCGTATAACAGAACCCCTGAAATAATTTGGGGGCCAATTCTTATATCCTTTACCAACCATTGGTCAGTCTTTAAAAGAATTCTGGGGTTAGCCCGAGCCTTATTTGAACTCCTGTCCTTCATCCCAGCATGGGGGCCAAATCTTTCAGCCTCATGGCAACTTATATGGGGTTTCTGGCAGGCTGACATTTCGGATTCAGTTACAACGCCGACGTAGATGTAAGCGCTTATATAGAAAAGGTAACCTGGGAGTGTTGCTGTGCCGTTCACGGTTTCAACAACCGCTCGCATGAGAGTGCATGATATGTCAATGTTGTCGTTGATACCCTGTTTCTTGGAGATTATGTCAAGATTCAGAAACGGAAGTTTCATATGCGCACTTAAAGTCTAATATGATAGGTCTCGATCGTTTCGGCTTTGGTGGAAGATATTGTGACTAGTTGGGACGTAGGGGATCCGAGCACCAGATGCAACGCGATATGCAAAGGTATCTTGACAAGCGTCCGCCAAGTGGTGAAAGGCCACCTATCACTTTCGAGAGAGGCGTTTTTGCACGATGCCACTGACCATTGGACCGCTTCAAAAGGCGTGAAGTTGTAAAGTGTCTCCAAGGATTTGTGTTTTATTCCTTGTTTCATGATCTACCATTCTATTTGGTGTCATTTGCCAAATTCCGCGCCGCATAGAGACCAGCTCTGACAGACATCTATAATCTAGAGCTGTCTGGAGATGCGGGATCTGCTTTCCTACAGTGACTCCCGTCTCTCATCCCACGGAACAAACGTCCCGTACATAACCGCCCTCTCCTGATCAACATCCCCTTCAACAGCCTCAACCTTCCAGATGACAACAGCCCTGACGAATCCAAAGAATGCAAGCTCCCACATCAACACATTGCTGCCCATCAGCACACCCTTTACACTGCGACTCTTCTCCTGAAAACACCGCGTCCAGAGAACGAAACTCGCCACGGTGGTGGCTACGAGTATGAGGGATTCGAGGTAGAGAAGAGCTACAGATGACAGTAGCTTGATTTCATGAACGATGAGGCTTGTTGCACAAAGGAGGAGAACGATGACAAGGCTCGGGTCCGCAAATTTCCAAAGCCTATAAATATTAGAAAAGAGGTGACATATCTGGGAGGATGTTGACTTACCAATTGTCAAAGTCGTTACCGGGCTCGTTCTCCTTCCAAACAGTAATCCACATCAAAGCGCTAAAAACACCCAGTGTCACAGCAAACTGTAACGCAAGCACGAGGCCATGTATCACAGATTTAACCACCCACTTCCCCTCCACGCGCAGAATCGTCACTGGTACATGACCGCCGTCGTAACTTTGCCTCTTGGTCGTAGAATTCTCCCAAGTACGATTCTCATACTCTTCATCGCCCTCGTCTTCTTCCTCGCTGACCCACGGCGGGAACGGCGTAAGGGGCGGCGATCCTCCTCGAGAGAGTGTGGTTGTAGGAGGACGAATAGTCAGGGCGGATTCTGTTCGTGCTTCAGACTGCATAGAGCCATAATCGATTAAACTAGGTGACGGTCGAGATATAGAGATGTTGCGGTGGTGTTGGGGGTGGTGAGGAGCTGTTGATGCGCTTCGAGGTACGAGGTCGGGAGAGAAAAAGCTTGAATGCGTTGAGCGTGTTGCGGAGGAGGGCTTGACGGGAGATGTTATGCTCCGTTGAGGGTGATGTTGATGTTGAGTGCGTTCGGGGGAGAGGGATAGAGTGAGGGCGTTTCCGCGACTACTTCTCTTCTTCCCAAGAGTTCGAGCCGCGTCTCGAGGTAGTGGAAGCTCCATGATGTGGACCGCGATGAGGAGTAAAGGGAGTATGAAGGAAGAAGAATATTTAAATAGAATGCGGTAGAGATAAAATAAAAGAATTAAAGGTAATGATGTGATGATATTGAAGAGGTCAAAAATTGACAGTGGTAGGCACTGGCGACGACCAACACCAGCACAACCTCAAAAGGACCATCAAAACCAAACGACTATGACAACCTGATTGACCAGAATAAGTGTGACAACCTTTTTTAACTCTTGTGTGTCCTTACAACGCTAGCTAAGTGTCACCAAAATCGTTCTTTGTTCAAGATGAAGTATCGACATCGGATCAAACTACCGAGAGCGACTCCATTATCCAAGTGGCTACATGGAACACATTTCTTTGTTTGTTCTCGATTGACTAAAGTAGTTGGTATCATAAGCCTCGTTCCTTATTCCTACAGAGAATGTTTCGATCAACCATGCGCCATCCCACAAACTACCGATTCCCAACTTTAATCCCATCCCATCAAACGCCTATAATCTCGATATGCAGCATCGCCGTACAAAGTACCTCGTTACTCAAGACTCATTCGTGCCTCGTCGCCAATACCCCATTGTCCTCCAGGCCTACCTTGTTTCTGAATCTCCAAAGCCAGCTCCGCACCTAAAGCATCGGCGTCATCGTCGTTGTACAGACTGCTCGTCCTACTGGTTCTACTGTCTCGTCTGGTGCGTTCCTTATTATCGGCTCCAGGTCGGTCAGTGGCTCGTTTTCGCAGAAAAGGCGACCGAAGGAAAGATTTTGAGGATGTCGAGTGTACTGACAAGGAATCGTCTGCTACTTTGGAGCTTGCGTCATCGTTACTGGTGTCCTCTGCTTGTACCTCGGCGGTTCGTGTCGATACCATTGCTTCGTTACTGGCGTATGGTTGAGATCGTAGTTTCGTTACTGCTGGGGATTCCTTGTCTTTCGAAGCTTCCTTGGAGTCTGCGTTCTGATCAACTTCGACAAGCTCGGCATCGCGGTACCACTTTCTTCGTCTTGTCCAACGACCCCAGCCATCTGAACCTCTTTGGCCGTGTTGCCACTGGAAATGCATTAGCAACAGAAGATCATAGCTTCAGTATACTTTCTTACCTTGTTGTCGTAAAAGATCCATCCGCTCTTCCCCTCGTTCCCATCATAGTCTATCGGGCCACTCTCATCAGATACACCATCGACACGCCAGCGGCTCCCAGGAACCCATCTCCACTCCATATGGCTTCCGTCTGATACATCTGGTAGTTCAAAGTCATCTTTAGCAGGCACTGAGTTGTTGTGATCATCCGTCCATGCAGCTCGTTCATATGCAAATAAATTATTGGTCCAACCCAAACCGATCCATCGTCTTTGGTTCTCGTATATGATGAAAGTAAACTTGACTCCTGCCGTCTTTCCTGTAACGTTTCTGCGGTTGGTTTGAAAACTTGTCGCTTTCCCAAGAGCCTTGGTAAGTTCCGAATCTCCTTGCTGAGCCACACGATCCGTGCCCTTCTTGGAAGCCTGGGCCAAGTCCTTTCGGAAGGGTTGTTCGGGAGTATCAAAATGGAGACCGGTAATACCGGCAGCAAGTCTCCGAACTGTGGAGCTTCTCCAGAGAATGGCCCGCGATACTCGGAGAACCCTTGCATGCCAAGTCAGAATGATAGTTCCAGCCACTAGTATTACACGTCTGGTGGTGACGACTCTCCACGGCGGAACAGTAAGCGCGATCCAGATGGGCGTGATAATAAGCAGTCGCATGAAGATGACAGTCAGCGCTGGTCTCGTGGTAGCACTGATTGCGGTTGTTTGAGTGCTGAGAAAATCCGTCATGTCGAGCAAAGGCTCCATGAGAACATTACATCTTCCTGTAAGCTGTTTAAGAGTCTCGACGATCTCGTCTAGTGTCTTTTGATGTTTTGTGTTGGTGACCTCGGAGTTTCCTCTAACATGTTTCGACTGTTTCTCGCCAGCGTTTGCTTTGCCGTTCTGCTGGCTGCTCTCGTCGGCGTTTTGGTTTGCTCCCTTGGTACCAGTATTTTGGCCCCGGGATTCAGTCCACCCACTACTACTGAGGGGACTGTATCTCCGGCCGTACATGCCGGCAATGAGGGCAACTCCGACCAGGATTGGGCCGGCCCACGTTATTACTACATCGCCATACAGAACAACCGCCCAGAAGAAGCTTAATAATAGAAAGCTTTGCCAGGGATCTCCAGTACTCCAAGTGAGGAGTCCGGCAAGTGTATTCAAGGGAAGGAGGAAAGGGTGGCTGTAGGCGAGGGCGCGGGTGATTTGAGGAGGAGTAGCGAGGAGCAGGGGGCTCTTTTGGTGGACGAGGATAGTTGATCGTCGTGAGGATCGAGATGGAGTATTCGCAGAGAGTGTTACGGGGGAGAAGCTGGCATAGGTCGGGGGTGCGCCGGTAGTCGAAGATGAGGGTTCGTAGGAGGGAGGTGATGCGCCGTGAGACGCATCGTCGCGGGAAGACATGGGTGACGGTGCAAGATGCGACAGCCACGGGGTATCCTGGAAGATTTGCGGTCAATAAACAGGCGGTGTATTAATGATGGAGCTGGTTTGTGAGGGTATCGAGATATGTTGTAGGGCAATTTGCCCTTCTGAGCTGGACTAAGCTGAACTGCCGCGTCGCGACGTCAGAGGGTCAAGTCGAGAGTCGCAAAAAGGTAAGACCAAGACAAGGTCATAGAGTGGAGGGAGGATGGGGTAAGTTATGTCATGGGGCGCCACTTTTTAGCGGCTGCGGATGTCTCTGGGTGTCTTTTGGGGGGTAGAGACAGACGAGCAAAAGAGATAACCAAAGGGAGATAAATAAATAGAATGATGGGGAAAAGGTAGATAAGAATAGACTTGAGAGATAATGCTTACAAAAGCTGCCATTTGACAACAAGTTTTCCAGGTTTCTTCAGCGACTTTGTAAGCCACGATTTTATGGCAGCGTCATTCAGCAGGCAGCGTTTACCCCGGATTGTAGTGGTTGCTTTGCTTTGCTTTTCTGCCCCGCGACTTTAGGTCACTCAGATGCATGTCATTCCCTAACTTGAAGACAAATAAAAGAAAGGATGGAAAATAAACCCAACAGAAATAAAAGTATGACAAAGGTGGAAGAACGAAACATTAATGTCAAAAGTCACACGTGAGCTTTCTCGGTTGGCGCAGTCATCCATTCCAATTTCTGACTTGAACCTTGGGTCATTGTCTTTGTCACATGCTAAACTCTTCGGTTCAAGCAGTGCACATGAATCAGGTTCTCGGTGCGCAAATCAACAAGGTAAATCGCTATTTCATCAAGTCACGGGGTCTTTTATATTGCATCCTGGTATTATGCCAAGTAAAGGTTTCAATCCTTGGTTGGTGATTTGTTTATTTCATCTCATGATAGTCTCATAGTCTCCCCCAAGGTCTGCGTCGATTCTAGTGGCTCTTCATAGTGCGGATTTGTGTCCTGTTCTTCCAATTTAGGGTGTGTTCGAGATCCCCATGGTCCATCCACCCAGGACGTATTCCTTCTGTCCTTTCTGTGTGTCGAGACTATCCCCAGACGTTCTCGTGTCTCGTCATCATAATTTGGCCGCTCATACTCGGAATCATATTCATCCAGCTCAATTCCTTTATCCTCGAATGTACTATACAACTCCTTTTCTTTGATGAGTGGCAATTGTCAACTATCATCCATCTCCATCTTGCTCGGCACAAATGGGTTTTCTCCATCTCCATACAGAAAATCGTCGATGTCTGAGTCAAGCTTCAGTGTCTTACCGTACGCCCAGCCGTCATCGGCAAGCTGAATGGTGACCTTTGGCCGCAATGACCGGCTCCGCCATTCAGTTCCCCTCAGCTCATTGAGGAAGTTGTGTGGATTCAACGAACAGTACATGTACGTTTCGTCCTCGAACCTGTCCTCATTCAAAAAGATGACGCAATACAGCTCCAAAGAGCGTAGGGAAGCTAAGGGGGCCACGACCGTGATAACGATATCTGTATTCAGGGTTGATTTTTGTATGGCGAGGTCTTGAAGGCTTTCGGCCACGCATCTTGGAAATCAGAGGGATTTACTTAAATCTTGACGCCCAATCTTGTAAGCATTTGTCCGCTCTGGCTCCCAGACAAACGCAACTTCGGTTGAATAGTGAGGACTCTTCCAATTGGAGATGCGAAGGCTCTTCAGATTTTTGGCCTTCTCCAGAGTTTCGTACCACGAGCTCAAATTGTTGGCATATAGATCTAGTTTACGAAATCCGGGCCTCTGGATGAGTGAAAGAGAGTCCGTGAGTGTGTGACCTTGGTCATCGAATGGGGTAGGGATATGAGGCGCCTCCGCTACCGGGTCTTCGATAATGAATTCGGAGACGTTATGCCTTCCATGTCTTGCAAGGATTCTCAGGGCGCTACACACACCGCGCCTATCAATAGTATACTCTAGATTGGTCTCAAGTTGCTCATCTTTCCACAAGAAGGCGGAGGTCCGGGTTTCCCAGCGACAACGAGGCACGGGATACACAAAGCCATACGGGAATGAACGAATCATGGGCGTCTCGTACATGGGCATGAATAGTCTCTCATGAGCTTTGGTCGAGATAGTGACTCGACGGAACGAAGGGAATCTGCCGAGGGTATGCTCAAATGCTTTGACATCCTCCCCAGACTCTAACATACGATCTTCCCCAGGCACCAACTCGGATAAGAGTGGGTAACACTCGGCTGGTGACATGGCTGCAGCAAGTTGACGGATAGCATGATACGGCCGACCTTTTAGACCATCATTTCCTTCGCTAAAGCCTAGTTGGCAAATCTCTCGTTCGCACCACAACAGGTAGTTTCCCAATAGTGCCTAGTCAGGGGCATCGGTGGGCATGACACATCAAAACAGTTCTCGTCCCATATTATCTCGGTCATGCCCTTGCGAAATACTTCATGATGATTTCTTTGGGAACCTTGATATTGCAGGGGCTTGCTGAGACAAAGACTCGTTTTAAACGCAAGGCGAAGCGATCGCGTAGCGAAGAAGATGTGAGGCGTAGTGATTTGATATCGCGATTGGCTAGGAATCTGGCGATGTGATGGCCCATCTCAACCGGCAAAGTTGACAAGCTAGTGGGAGGAGCCTCGTTGCCTTCCATTGCGATAGGTGGTTGATGGCTGAGTTGTGGACATGTGGTGCAAACAATTCTGGAGTAGGATATATAGGAGACACAAACCTTATGGCTGACTCCTAATTTCCCCGCCAACATTGAATATCCTGATGAGCCACTTCAACAACTTTGTCTGAATTGAAGTCGTGGATACTATAGTACAGACGACAGTCAATCCCATGCAAATAGCCATAATGTGGGGTTTTCTCAGCACCATCCTCAAGATTGCTGATATCCTCACTGTCAAGGGTGACACTGGTGCCATCGTCGAGTACCACGGTCCCGGAACTGATGCCATCTCTTGCACTGGTATGGCTACTATTTGCAACATGGTATGTGACCTATTTATCGGACTGCTGAAGGCCTGCTAAAACTATCAGCAGTAGAGGAGAGCGAAGGTCGTCGTCATCCTGAGATGGTCCCTTATCATCCAAATGTCTTACCTGAGTGCTAAGCATACATTTTGTGGTTATAACATGTTGAGGAGAGTCTGCAAATCACTGGGCTACTGTCCGTTGTAGCATGGAGATGCATCATGCATGTAACAGGCAAGCATGACCAGGATAATACTCAACAGTACAACAAGGATAGTATTTGAGCTTAAATTGTAGCTATCCAACCGCATATCCCAATCACATCATGATCTCAACTCCGCCCTTCATAACTCCGTCCGTGATTTGTCGTCAAAAAGATGTATCTTGACCCCAGTCTGGGCCTGGAATAGATGTGGTATTCGATTGATCAAAGGACCAAGTTGTTTATTTGCCGCAGCCAGAGCAAGAGCCTAGATATAATTAGTATTGAACCCTGTGATATAGATACAGTCATGTTGACTTACAGCTAGAGCCGCAGTTGCAAGAAGAGGCACCAGAGCAGCCACAGTCGCCAGCCATTGTGAAGATTGTTTGGTGGTTGGGTAGGTAGTTGTTTGAAAAGGGTGTTATAGTAGTTGATGTTGGAGATGAGGATGAAGAAAAAGAACTGTCCTTTGATCTGGATCATGCAGGGTCTTATATACAAGATAGATGCGGCCTTTGTGCGTTGATGATCCCTGTACAATGAGGGGTCCCAGTGTCATAGTGGAATCTGGTTGGCGATCTGAGCTTGAGTAGTGGGGTTTGGCATGAGTTATTTTGGCGGTTGGCTTAGAATTCCGCGTGATGATCCACGATAGATGGTTCGAGATTTGAGACAAGGACAGGGACAGGGATAGGGTATCGCGGTAGTGTTGTTGTTGTTGAAGATTCAAGATAGAATTATATTTACTTATATGAATAGTCAATACTATCGGTTCTCAGTGCTCTTTGTCTTATATTCAATTGTAGAACTAATGACACCCATATCCTATCTTTCTTTGGACTTCTAGCTATCATAAATTGGTCTGGAGTTGTGATATCAAGCTTCGAGGCTGATTGCCACTAACACCACCCACCCCAGCTACGTCTTATCATTGGATCGCAATATTGGCGCTTCTTTGCCACCCTCCAAAAGAACAACAATCGGCAGTTGACATGGAGCTTGTATGCAAACACGAATAGTTTGACGTCACATGCTGCGATGATATAGCCAGGTGATTGCGAGTGTAACACTACAGCAGCTTGAGCAAGGACAGATAACAGCGTTAGTCGATGGACGTTATCAACAAGTAACAGCTTCAAGGCAGCGACTTTATCAGTAGTTACATCTGACTTCTCTAACTTGGTATCGGTCATCCACTGCCTTAACTTCCCCATCGGAATTACACCATGCTTCTTTTCCGACATCCGAAATTCCTTCTCAAACCATCCCGGCGTACCAAATGTCTGCAACAACTTGCCAAACGGCTGACATGATCCAAAGTCAATCAACACAGGCTTATTATTCTCTCCCATCATGATGTTTCCTGGGTTAATGCTGTTGTGCGCCAGTCCACGAGCGTCCACCGCAGATTGCATAACCGATAATGATGAGTCGAGGTCAGCGTCCTTCGGTCCTGGGCTTTCTACGAATTGCTCCAGAGTCAGTTGATATTTGTCGAGAAGAATTCCAGTGATGCGGCCACGCTGAACGCGGTATCTTTTGTGGCGGATGATGCTTGGGTGAAGAATTTTGGAAATAATTTCCATTGTGAGAGTCTCGTCAAGGACCAGTTTTGGTGTACCTATATATCTCCCAGGTTCGAATTAAAGGGGGCCAGGTCATTTACAAAAGCATAAGCTTTCGTCGTAATCGTCTCCAGCTATGGCAAATTTAGTGTCCGCCGGAATTTGAGGAAACAAACCCTCATCGGGGACAGGTTGAGGCACTTTGATGTAGTCTTTGAGACATCTCCCCATCTGTTGTGGCCCGTCCAAAAAAGACGTTATCATCTTTGCTCATTCAGAGGAACGATTTATGGTGTGTCTTGGTTTCCATATCATCAAATTCGACCAGAAATAGGTCGTCGATTGGCGTCGGATTTGGGATCAGTGAAGATTCCTGGCCGTTCTGGCTATCGGGTAGGCATATCTTTGACTGACAATATGGGTGGTGATGGTGCGATACAGTATGAAAGATATCGTATGTCTATCGGGCGAAGCAACAGAAGTGTTTGAATAGTGGTGTCGGATGACTTGAGCCTCAATTATGCCATGGAAAAGAATGGTGTTGCATCTGTCGTTCAGACCTCATTTATGAAGTCGCGATTTATGCACACCACTCAACTTTTTGCATGTGCACATTGATGATTGGTTGATTAGTGACACAGTTTCCTACGTGGGATGAATAGCTGGATATTATGACATTTGAGCGACATATTTCCACGCAAATCACTAACATTTGAGGGGTGACACAGCGTATGCGAGTGAGCCATGAGGGCCCGGGTGACGCCGGAGTAAATCAGGCTGTAGCCTGACTTAATCTCAATCTCAGTTCTAGCTATATTCAGTTAAGAGTGTGATCAGTAGTGGAGGACCTTGATTGAGTCGGCCCTTACAGGGTAATCGTAGCATACATGCCATTTAGAACAAGCGAAACGTTTGAGTCAAGTTTTCTCAGAAATTTACAGGCTTCTCAACCGTCTGCAAAAGGATACAGGATGCTATTATGAGTGGTCGTCCAAGGATTGTTTGCTCTATTTTCTTCGAAGGTATTGTGTTTGGTATAGGTGCACCAATCCAAGCACTTTTGCTCAGAGACTACTATCGCTAAACTTCTTTCGACCACGACTTAAACTGATCCCTCTTCTGCCTAGCAAGTAGCCTGTATCTTAAGCTAAATAATGCTGAAAGTAAAGCTCAGCAGCATCAAGCCGTACCGCATATCGATTGCTGCTCGTCCACTAACCATATCTCTGGACCAAATCTCTCATAACGTCAAGGACCCTATTAAGCTCTCATTAGCCGCCGAACTAGATGGTAGACTTAGAATAGCCTCACTGTGTGCGAAGTGTCTCGTTATTGATAAAAAGGGCTGATACATGTGTGTCAAACCTCCTAGCTTGATATCAGCAACGCAGATCAGGAAGAAAAGAGTTTCTGAATGTCTCACAGTCTATAGAGGTCTAGACGACCTTCAAAATCCTCTTCAGGCGGCGAAATCTGGGCGAACGTGTTGTAGGCAGCTACGTACTCATCCCCGAACCTATTGCAAGCTGGTCGCCACTGGCCAAACTCATCTTCGAATTCGAGCTAGTCAGCAGGGGTAACCGCAAGAGTTTAAAAGGGTAACATACATTCGTTGTGTGCAAAGAAGCAGCACGCATCGAAGACAAGAGGCTGGTCGTTGTCAACATCAATCCCTGAATTTGCGTACCAAAGGTCTCCATGAACCAGTGAAGGTTTCACTGTTCGGCCATCACTCTCGAGAGGCCTCAGGAGCCTCGGGATGACCTTTTCGAACAGAGCTCGTGAAAGAATCTCCAGCTCCTCGCTAGGCCCTTTCCTTTCAATCTCCAGGTCAAGTGCTTGTCTCATGGACTTGGCGAAGAACGTCTCCCACCTATCTTCCCATGTCACGAACTGGGGTAGGTTTCCTGCGTAGGTGGTGATGTGGAACCCGAACTTGCCGGTAGGCGATACGCTTTTCTGGTGCAGCGTTGACAGAAGAGCAGCAAAATTGTGAGGGTCTGGCATATCCTCGGTCATTTCTCGAAATTCGCAGAGGAAGAAGTGGGTGTCTGGTATTGTCTGGTAGGTGCCGCAAGCGATGGGCCTTGGGACAAATTCTGGCAACACATTATGTATCGCGCTCATGGAATGGAATTCCCCCCTTGTCATATTCATGCCCAATTCTTCCGAAATGACCTTGATGAAAAAGGACTTCGGTGTACCATCATTGAGCAAAATATCGATGCGACCCGTCTTCGCCCAGAAGCTTACGCCATGGTTCTCGATGGATGTGACCTTGCATCCCTCCGGCAGTTCTTGGAGGACAGTCAATATGAAGACGGCCTTGTCAGTTTGCCAAGAGCTTGTAGCTTACCTCTCAACACAGCTGGGTCAATGTTGGTATTGCCCGCCCCGAACTCAAATCCGTTTGCACCGTTGTAGTTCATTTCTGTGCCAAAGACTGTGCTGAATCTGTTCAGCGCCCCGCTGGATCAGCATAATTGGGCTTTCGGAGAGGGGGTTACAGTATTATAAGCGGCGTTCCTAGATTGCACCCTAGCCGTCTGATCCAATCGCAGACGAGCTGACAAAATGTCACGCAACCACGTATGGATGGCGGCTAACAGCACACAACAGCCACTGGCACGAATCTTTTTCGATTGCAAGTTTCTATCTTATCAGACAATTACCAGAAGTATCCTAGACAGCACCATTTAGTTGATGGGTTTATCTAGAGAGCAAGAGTTTCTTAGGAGGACATACTGAGGCTGCAGCTGTATTATGTCAACTATTTACATGCTTATGCCATCACCGTTCCTAACAAACTATTAAGCTTAAAGCCTAGCGCATAAACGGGCCGTTCCGGTATTCCCGCAGCCTCATTCCTTTTCTTAGTGAACCCCATTCAAGTCTTCAGTGCCCAGCCATTGAGACCTTGATAATCTTATCACGCCAATGTTCAACGGGGAACACGACCTTGACACCGTTTGCCTCGAGTCTTTTTTGTCCGTCATTGTGTGCGATAAACGTTCCTGGCTCTTTGATCCCCACATAGACAGTCTTGATGGCGCTCTTAAGTCTCAAGATCCTCGTCGTGCAAGTCATGTTGCCACTCAGTCTCTCGTTACATGGCTCCATGGTCGTGTACAGCACTGTATCTTCCGGAAGGACCTCATGGATGCGTTCCTCTGGGAGGTTGTGTTCGTCGGCAATCTTGATAAAGCAACACTGCTCTGCGTGCGTAGTTCCTGGATCTCCTTTGTAGTCTCGCGGATATTCAAGCGAGTATCCTGTCGATAAGACTTTGCCCTTAGCGGCGTCAACAAGTATGGCTCCGACGCAAAATTTGTTGGCAGCTGGCGGTGACTTTCTTGCTTGAGTGAGAGCGAACTCCATGAAAGCTTCATGGTCCCCGATCTCGAATGTCGGACTCGTCTGGGAACCCATGGCAGATAGTTCTTGGAAACAATACACAATACGTGAACGATCCTTCTAATAAGCCATATCAATACGGCATCATAGAGAAATGCCTAACAAGGTACAGGCCAATGTGGGTGCTTTTGAAACCTTTGATGCGCGATTTTCTAGGGCAAGTATGGATATATGTATGCCATTATCTTCATCGCTGTTGGTCCCGCGAGTGACATTGCCTGGCGGTTAGAGCAATCAGCTGATTGGTGGTTGGTGGCTCACAGGGCAGGGTTGACTACTATGTACGTGCTTTGAGCGCGAGATGTTGGGAACTTATTATCACAAGTCTCCAGGTAATTCTTCCATCGTACTGTTAGTCCATTATAATTTCGATGGATAGACCATCGTCACTTTGATGAGTCCGGACAACGGAGATTGGAGTCCAATGCACCGATACACACTGAGCTTTATGGGCTACAATGGTTAACTCCCACCCCTTAGTCGCTTGGGAAACTTCAATCCGACCCGATCGCTGACTGTGCCAAGTTAGGTCTTTCGAAAGCAGCGGCGCGCTAAGCCTGATCTACATTCTGGCAACTCATCAAACAGTCGCGACTCGACTAAGAGCTTGAGGAATCTATTTTCTCTGCCAAAAACCCAGTCCAACACGTCAACTACCTTGGACGACCGAGCGAAGGGTGATAGGGGACCATTTGGACTGAGCCTCCTACATTCCCCGACAGCGCCCGAGATCGACCTGATCTTCGTTCATGGCTTAGGCGGTAATTATAGAAAGACGTGGAGCAAATCATCGGCAGACCAGTCTCAATTTTGGCCAAAGGACTGGCTCTCCAAGGATCCCGCATTCAAGAATGCCCGTCTTCATAGCTACGGGTACGACTCGTATTATTTGAAGGGTAAGGACGACTGCTTAAATGTTCATCACATTGGCAAATCATTCCTAGGCGCGGTCAGCACCTCGCCGTGCATTGCCAATTCCAGAACATACATTGTTGTCGTTGGCCACAGCATGGGTGGCCTTGTAATGAAGAAAGCATACATCCTGGCGAAACAGGATGCAGAGCACGAAGCGCTGGCTGGACGATTTGCCGCATTCTATTTCCTCGCCACGCCACATCGAGGTGCCAACTCGGCAAAGATGCTCAAGAATCTCCTCAAGGTTGCGTACGACCGCGCTTATGTTGGTGATCTGGAACCGAACTCTGAAGCAGTTCAAGTGATCAATGACGAATTTCGGCATTTTTCGGCTGACCTTGACCTTTGGTCATTTTACGAAACACAGAATATGAAATTATTTAATTCACTTATCGTCGATCCTGAGTCAGCCGTCCTTGGGTACCGTGGAGAGAAACAAATACCTATGACTGCTAATCACCGCTCGATATGCAAGTTTGATACACCTCAAGATTCCAACTATATACTCCTACGAGACGCACTCGCCTCTACTGTGAGCAAAATTGCCACGGTAATTCCGGAAAAGAAGCGTGACAGTATCAAAATTCTCAAGAAGTACCTCCAGATATCCGATTTGTTGGACGACGATCTTGCAAATGTTTGTGAATCTCGGATGAGCGGGTCATGCGAATGGATTTCGTACAAAGCCAGTTATGTCAGATGGAAGGACGGGGAGTACGCAAATGACAGAACGTTATGGATCAAGGGCAAGCCAGCAACTGGAAAGTCTGTTCTTGCCGGCTATGTCATCGATCAGCTCAAGGGGTCCGGCCAGGCTTGCAGCTACTTCTTCTTCAAACATGGAGACAAGTCTAAGGCCAGCCTAGGCCGTTGTCTCCGATATCTGGCTTTTCAGATGGCGATCTCTAATGCTGAAGCCAGCGATGCCATCCTAAAAATGCAGGCGGATGATATCTCCTTCGATGGTGTCGACGAACGTACCCTCTGGAGAATCCTCTTCCTTTCCGGAATTTTTCAGGCCACAATGACTCGACATTACTGGGTCATCGATGCCCTGGACGAGTGTTCCAATCCTCCGGTCCTTTTGAATGCCATTCTTTCCAACATGGACGAATCTATGCCACTGAGAGTTCTCGTCACAAGTAGGGATACGGTCGAACTGGACCAAGGTTTCTCGGCTATTCCGCCCAATCTGGTCCAGTTCTTGCCAATCTCGATAACAGATACAGAACCAGATCTCAAGCTTTTGATTGAAGGTAGGATCCAGGCCTTGGGAGTCGTTCAACCTAACGATCGAAGTCACCTAGCCGAGAAGATTTTAGACAAATCTAAGGGGTCTTTCTTGTGGACAATTTTGGTACTTGAGGAACTCCTACGTTGTCACAGCAGAAAGGAAATTCACCAGATTCTTGAAGACGTGCCAAGAGGCATGGGATCACTGTACAAGCGGACTCTAGACTATATGTCACAGGTCACTCGCGGAAAGGAGTTGGCCAAAACCATCCTCATGTGGGCAGCATGTGCAGTTCGACCAATGACAATTAGCGAATTAGACGGTGCTCTGACCCTGGACATCCGCGACTCATTTCCAAACTTGGAGGAGAGCATCTCCGCGCTCTGTGGCCAATTGGTGGTCGTGGACAAATATGGGCGAGTTAGTATGGTGCATGAAACTGCCAGAGAATTCCTTGTATCTGGTGGGCTAGAGTCTGAGTTCTCCATAGAGAAAACTAAGGCACACACACGAATGGCTGAAGTGTGTCTCAGTTACCTCGTCGGGGAAGAAATGAAACCTCCAAGAACCAGGCGGCGTCGTTCTTCAGCAAACTTACCAACAAGACTAGATTTCGCCATCTATGCATACACATCATACTCATATCACCTCTCCAAGGCTGATCCGTTAGCGACAGAGGCGTTACAGCTTGTCACGCGGTTCCTGAAATCTAACGTACTTACTTGGATCGAAACGATTGCCGACTCCCAAAATCTCACTCATCTCATCCGTGCCTCAAAACACCTCAAAACCTACGCAACTAGATGTGCCGTTGAGCGTTCACCACTAGACCCTCAGATACGGGCGCTGCGACAGTGGAGTACGGACCTTACTCGGATTCCTGCCATGTTTGCCAACGCCCTCACGGTGTCGCCGTCAGCCATATACTCGTTGATACCGCCATTCTGTCCCACCGAATCTATGGTATACAACACTGGAGGCTCAAACCAGAGGCTAGTAGTGCTTGGCGCGAATAACGAGCAATGGGATGACAGGATGCTGTGCATAGATTTCCGCCAGGGTCAACCAAGAGCTTTACGCTATGGCGACGAGTTCTTGGCCGTCGCCCTCAGCTCAGGGGCTGTCGTATTGTACTACACTACATCCTATCAGGAGTACAAGGTCTTAAAGCACGGTGAAGCTGTTAACTTCATTGCTTTCAAGACCAAAACTGACCTTGTAGCAACCTGTGGTATCAAAATGACCAAGGTCTGGGACATCAGAAAGGGGCAAGTGGTGGAGAGCCTTATGAGCCCTCCCCGTCCGCTGGGAATGGAATTTGATGGAGATATGCTTTTGATTGCAAGTCGCAACAACTACATCGAGACTTGGAATTTGGGACACGGCGCCCGGGCGGAGCCGGTGCGGAGGCCATGGAGTGGTGCCAATACACCAGATACAAACCAAATGCCTCTACAGGGGACCCCATGCGCACTAACTCTCTCTACCAGCCACGGCATGCTTGCTGTCGCTTACAGTGGCCAACCCATCACACTATGGGACATGGAAGAGGACACTTACGCTGGTAGATGTGGCAAGAAACTCTCTAGTGGAGAGACAAGCACGCATGTCGTCGTCGCACTTGCTTTCAATCCCAATCCTGACATAAACCTTCTCGCAGTCGCATATCTCGATGGCGATCTCGCCCTCCTTGACCCCTATACCAACCAGCAGCTGGAATGCTTTCGTGCCAATTGCCAAACCCTCTCCCCAAGCCCTAATGGGCGTTTCCTCGCAGCGGGTGGTGCAAATGGGATAATCCACGTTTACGAATTTGATACGTTCAAACTCCTTTATCGGGCCAAGTCTTCCAGCTCCTATATCAAGCAGCTTGCTTTTGCCAGAGATAGCATGCTTCTTGCCGACATACGAGGCACCCAGTGCACTGTTTGGAAACCTGAAGCTCTGTTGCGGGAGTCCCTCAGTGATGACAGCAGCGGGCTCACTTCCACTACAGTGGTCGAGACAGTTTCCATGGAAGCCAAAGCGAAGGTTACTGCCATGGTGGTCCATCACACACTCGAGGTTGCCTTTTGTGGAAAGGACGATGGATCAGTCGTCCTGTACGAGCGAAAAACAGCAGCGAGCTTAGCGATTCTCTACAGGCATAAGTCCCCAGTCCGCCTATTGGCCTGGATTGAATCGAGAGACGCCCTCCTTAGCGTTGATGCCTCTAACAGGATCTTTTTACACATAATCCAAAAGTCAGCAGATAAAGGTTGGCTCAACGATCCGAAAGTACTCTTCAAGTCCCACCTCGACTCTGAGATGGCAATCACAGATGTGCTAGTAGGAGAAATAGCGGCCAAGTTCTTGGTATCAACTCGCGAGTCTGATTATCTGTTCAACTTGGATAGCGGCAAGTACGAGATAGAACGAACATATCCACAAGACCCAGGAACCCGGAAATGGCTCCCTCATCCGCAATCTTCTCTACATCTGATCTGTGTAGACAACGTCAAAGCCTGTGCCTATTGCTGGAGTGACTGGTCTGAAGTATCGTCTATTGCATTTTCATTAGACAACCACATGGTAGACTTCAAAAGTGCGATTCTCTATTCCCTCGACCAAAAACAGAGAATCATGCTCCACTTGATAGATCCGAGCAGTTCTGTAAACATCAACAGAATTGCCATTATTGACGCAGACTGTCTTACCGTCAAGGCATCGAATCTGGCCGCTCCACTTCGTTCGCGTGTGACTACGATCGAACTAAGCGTTGCCCATGTCATAGGAATTGATGAATCAAGAAAGCTCATATTCCTGAACCCGTCTTTTTGGGTGTGCTCTGTTGATCTTGGCGAGAGCGAGTTAGAGATCACGCAGCGCAAAGACTCCCCGACGATCGAAGTTTCTGAGCACTTTTTTGTTCCATACGACTGGTTTGCTGGGAATAGGAACATTGTTTGTGCCTTGGCGAAGAGAGATATTATGTTGACTCGGGGTGGCGACTTGGCGGTAATTAGGGGTGGCATTGACTATGCCGAGAGTGTGTACAGAGTGAGAGATTGAACAGAAGGGATACATCTAATCCCAAATCCCAAATGCGGGTAATAAGCGTAGGGTGAAATATTACATGTTCCAAATGACTAAAACCATTGACGGCATCGGACCGCATATTAATGCTGTGGCCGAGGGTCGACCGAAGCTTGCACAAGCTCGTGACAGTGACCTGCCGAGAGCCTTGACGAGCTAGCATCCAATATTATCCAGGTTAGAGTTCTAATGGCTATAACATATGAGATAACAATAGTAACATCCTTAGGGTATGCCAAAGTAATTTATTCGTTGAATAGCGCTCATAAGGAGAAAGGGCTGAGGGCTGGATAAGGGTTTGTCAACACTGCGTTTTCATAGTTGACTACTTTCACTTGGACTTGTTATCTCTTTCTCCTCGCCATGCACAAGATTAAAGGTAAGTCAAGTCTTTGTCCAGTCCTTTTATCACTCACCCTGTTCATAGAATCATAAACATTGGGGTCCTACAGGCATCAATGACATACGACAAGCCCTCCCACTGAAAAGTGATCATTTCTCCCTCTCCAAAATCCATCCTGGAGTTTAGTTGCAAGACCTTTCCAACAGTAGCCATATTAGCAACCGGTGCTACAGGCTTCACGATGGCAAGCTTTTCAACCACAAACTCGGTGAAATGCGACGCGCACATATGGCATTCCCATGGTGCTGGACCAAAGGAACAATTGTGAGGACCCTTCTCTGCAGCTAGTTCCGCTATTTGACTCACCTGCCGTTCGAGTAAATTGGCGAATGAGTTCAATTTCCTGTTCTGTGAGACTGGGCTGTCGGTCTTCCTGCGTTTCGTAATCGAATTGAGCAGATCTTCGTCCACATACCGTTTCTTCGTGTCAGTTTTCGTCAGGAGATGTTTGTCTTTTGCAAGTCGTCTTGGTTGGATGCGAGTTGGCGAGTTTGATTTTGAGGTTTGGCCGAGGACGTGTTCCTGGAAGTGTTTCTTGCACAGGGGTGCACCTCTGAGAGGTTTTCCTAGGTAGGTCTCTGATAGCATGTTTAAGATCGTTAGTGATGAATCTGATGATCGAATTTTTGGTATGGTGAGAAACGCAAGCCCAGTAGGCTTCTGAGTGCTTGATTTTGTACTTTCTGGCCTCCATTGACGAGCTGAATAACAATGTATTTCACCACGGAAAGGTTTCTGAACAAGACACAATTCTTTACAATGATTCAAGCCCGTGAGTTCCTTTGTTAAAGTGGTATTTCCATACATAGTAACCCAGTTGTCGTCTTTCAGCCATGACGGTCTTCTTTTTGTCCAGTATTTGTGCTCAATAATTACAATACAATTATGTTTTGAACGCTTCATTACATGTTCGTAAGAGAGTTCATGTTTCTGTTTGTTCTCTTTGATTATTTTGTGTTCGTTAAGCAGGTGGTATCACGGCAAGGAACTCTGGCATTCCTGGCTGCACCAACATGGTGGACCAAATTAGCCTTATCAGCTCTATCTACCTAGCAACACCTGGACCAATGGTATCCATCCGAAAGTTATCTATAACACGAAACACAAGCAGACAGACTGCAGTCAAATGTTGCTCCATGCATTGTATGGACTAAACATCATGGGGTCAATTATGGCTACCCTAAGCCGCCAGGATCGGAGTAGTATATATATTCCGGGGACGCAACCCCGGGTTTTTAACCGGAAATCCGTGCAAAGTCAAAGTCAACGGTAGTCTAAAATTGTCACAAGGCCAAAGATGCATGGCAGTCTTCTAGAACACGTATCAGTGCACCTTGACTACCGGTCTATGTTCCTTATCATGGTGTAACCAGACCATTCCGGAATCGGCCCCAGGTTTCGGTTACGAGACCGAGGAAGTAAGAAGGGACTTTCCTAAGGTATGGATTCATATGTTGGTGATAACGTCTTGGCGTTTGAGGACCCACGGCTTTATGCGCCGACCACCTGATTAGTTCTATTAGCTTGTAGTGCATTGACTCAGTGAAGATGCACTGTAGCTTTAAGCCGTTTTGGCAGTTGACTCGGTGAATTGGACAGGGCAGATAAGCATCATGGCAAAAATAGCGACTTATCTTTCACCGAGTCACTGGGTTTCACTGAGTCAAGAGGAACCAATCACGGCTTTTATCGCGCATTAGCTTGTAATCTTTAGTTGCCGCGCTTCACCGAGTCACCACTAAAAAAGAAAGAGACCTTCTGGAACTGGGAATGCAGATCATGTACCTCAATGTACCTTTTTTTTCCTTTTCCCGGCCGTGGTTTTTGGAGAAAGGAAAGAAAGCAAACCGGCTGCAAGATCGGACCATCATGGCCGATACGCCACTCGTTGGCCATCATGGATAAACCCTTAAAACTTTGTGAGCGGCGCTGTTCTTTGATAACATTTTGGAACAAGCATCTTTCTTTTTTTCCTTCCCCTCTATCATCATAGGTCAGGTTTGAACTGTGATTTGTGAGGTGACATCTTCATCATGATGTCTGCTACCCGTATCGGACAACGGCTCGCCCGTCAGTCTCGCCGTTCCCCCATCACCCTTCAACCTCGTCTCACACAAACAATTCGTCTCAATGTCGTCTCTTCAAGGGCATTCTCAGTCACAGCCACCGCCCAGGCCCCTCGCTTTGTCGAGTCCCAGAGCAGCACTAAACTGCAAGAGCATGAACTCTTCTCAAGGAGACACATCGGCAGCGAGTCGAGCGAGCAAACAGAAATGCTCAAGATGCTCGACCCTCCAGTGAGCTCGATGGAGGAGTTCCTCGAACAGACTATCCCCCCGCAGGTCAGGAGGAAGCAAAAGGGTCTTAACCTTGTCGAGCAGTGGTACGAGGGCGGCGCTGAGTCTGCTGTCCCTGCTAATGGTCGCACCGAGCACTACATCCAGCAAGAGATGCGAAAGCTCGCAAAGAACAACAAAGTTTACGAGTCTTTTATTGGTGCTGGTTACTATGGAACTCTTGTTCCCGCTGTTATCCAGCGCAATGTTCTCGAGAACCCTGCTTGGTACACCAGCTACACTCCCTACCAGGCTGAGATCAGCCAGGGTCGTCTTGAGTCCCTCCTCAACTTCCAGACTCTCATCACCGATTTGACCGGTCTTGACATCGCCAATGCCTCTGTTCTTGACGAGGCTACCGCTGCCGCCGAGGCCATGACCATGTCAATGGCCAACGCCCCCAAGGGCAAGGGCCAAAAGACCTTTGTTGTCTCCGAGAACTGCCACCCCCAGACCATCTCCGTCCTGCAGTCCCGAGCCGAGGGCTTCAACATCAAGCTTGTCATTGGCGACGTCCTCGCTGACAACTCCAAGCTCGTTCGCGAAGTCGAGGGCGACCTCATTGGTACCCTGATCCAGTACCCCGATACCCACGGTGGTGTCCACGATTACCAGGCTCTCGCCGACATTGTCCACGAGAAGAAGGCTCTTCTCAGCGCCTCTACCGATTTGCTCGCTCTTACCATGCTCAAGCCCCCCGGAGACTTCGGCGCCGACATCGCCATCGGTAACTCCCAGCGATTCGGTGTTCCTCTGGGCTACGGTGGTCCCCACGCTGCCTTCTTTGCCACTTCCGAGAAGTACAAGCGCAAGATTCCCGGTCGTCTCGTCGGTGTTTCTAAGGATCGTCTCGGAAAGCCTGCTCTTCGTCTTGCCCTCCAAACTCGTGAGCAGCACATTCGACGTGAGAAGGCTACCAGCAACATCTGCACTGCCCAGGCTCTTCTCGCTAACATGTCTGCTTTCTACGCTGTCTACCACGGTCCCAAGGGTCTCAAGACTATTGCTGAGGATATCTGGAGCAAGACCCGTCTTGCTCAGAGCCTCATCCTCGAGAAAGGCGAGTTCCAGCTCCACACTCAGGGTCTCCGCGAGGATGGCTCTGTTCTCTTCGACACTGTCACGCTTAAGGGTTCTCCTGAGGCTATTGCCAAGGTTCACGAGAAGGCTGATGCTCAGAACATCAATCTCCGCCGCGTCGCTGATGACAAGGTTGGCTTCTCTCTCCACGAGGGTGTCACTCTTGAGAGCCTCGGCAACCTTGTCAAGATCTTTGGCGTTTCGGAGTCTGACTTTAACGCCGCTCTCGAATCCGACAAGGCCAAGTTCCTCAACGATGAGCTTCCCGCCTCTCTCCAGCGAAAGTCTGCCTACCTCGAGCAGCCCGTTTTCAACCAGTACCACACCGAAACCGAGCTTCTCCGATACATCTACCACCTCCAATCCAAGGATGTCTCTCTCGTGCACTCTATGATCCCTCTGGGCTCTTGCACTATGAAGCTCAACGCCACCACCGAGATGCTCCCCGTTTCCGACCCCGGTATCAACAACATCCACCCCTTCGCCCCCGTCGAGCAGGCTTCCGGTTACCAAGCTCTCATCAGCTCACTCGCTAAGAACTTGTCCGAGATTACTGGTATGGACGCTACTACTCTGCAGCCCAACTCTGGTGCTCAGGGTGAGTTTGCTGGTCTTCGCTGCATCAAGGCCTACCACGAGGCTCGTTCTGGCGAGAAGCGAAAGGTCTGCCTGATCCCTGTTTCTGCTCACGGTACCAACCCTGCCTCTGCAGCTATGGCTGGTATGAAGGTCGTCACTGTCAAGTGCGATGGCAAGACTGGTAACCTGGACATTGAGGATCTTAAGGCCAAGTGTGCCAAGCACGCTGATGAGCTTGCTGCCATTATGGTCACCTACCCTTCCACCTTTGGTGTCTTTGAGCCCGAGATCAAGCAGGTCTGTGACCTTGTTCACGAGCACGGTGGTCTCGTCTACATGGACGGTGCCAACATGAACGCTCAGATTGGTCTCTGCTCTCCTGGTGACATCGGTGCTGATGTCTGCCATCTTAACCTCCACAAGACCTTCTGTATTCCCCATGGTGGTGGTGGCCCTGGTGTCGGTCCTATTGCCGTCAAGAAGCACCTTGCTCCTTACCTGCCTGGTCACCCTGAAATCGACCCTCAGCGCATTGGTGCTGAGCGTGACAGCACCGCTGTTGCTCCCATCAGTGCCGCTCCTTGGGGTAGTGCTTCCATCCTCCCTATCAGCCACACTTACATCCTCATGATGGGTGGTGACGGTCTTACCAAGCAAACTGGTACCGCTCTCCTCAACGCCAACTACATCATGTCCCGTCTCCTCCCCCACTACAAGGTTGTCTACACCAACTCCCAAGGCCGATGCGCTCACGAGTTCATCCTCGATGTTCGACCCTTCAAGGATACTGCTGGCGTTGAAGTTGCCGACATTGCCAAGCGATTGGCCGATTACGGTTTCCACTCTCCTACCATGAGTTTCCCCGTCTCAGGAACCCTCATGATCGAGCCCACCGAGTCTGAGTCCCGAGCTGAGCTCGACCGCTTCTGCGACGCCCTCATCCAGATCCGCAAGGAGATCGCCGACATCGAGTCTGGCAAGGTTCCCCGCAAGAACAACATCCTCACCAACGCCCCTCATCCCCAACACGACCTCCTCTCCTCCGAGTGGGACCGCCCTTACACCCGTGAGGAGGCTGCTTACCCTCTCCCCTGGCTCCGGGAGAAGAAGATGTGGCCTTCTGTTGGCCGCGTGGATGATGCTTACGGTGACACCAACCTGTTCTGCACATGCCCTCCTGTCGAGGGATCTGAGGACTTGTAAATGGTGAAAAGGAAGTAATGGATTTAACATGATCATATTGGATTTTATTAGCGATAGGGTTTTTAATAGGGTTTGAGCGAAAGGGGGAAAGAGATATCATATTCAACCATGATGGTGTCGTTGCATTTGGAATGGTTTATTGGGAAGCTATTCAACTATGGCGAACTGATCTCTGTATTGGCGGAGTTTATGCGAGATATGATGAATGGATTTTCTAGAGAAAAAGTTCTAAAACTACCTAGACTAAATTTATGAGTTAAACATTTAAATCATTGCCAATATTGAAATGCGATTTTAGTTGAATGTGTCTTGTACAGGAGACGATATATATTGCTGATAAGTCCTTTTCCATTTGCCCTACCCAAGGCAGAGTTGCCAAGAGAACACAAG